TTGTACATTTGTTTTACAAGTATATACAAGCTTCAACATTCATGTTACATACAGATTCTTGGACTGGAAATGAATCATGAGGGAAAAATCTTAGGAAGCTAATTCATTCTCTTTATGATTAGTCTGCTTAGTATGCTAATTCTGTTGACGAATTAACAAAAGCAGTTACATTTTCTTTTGTTACTTACGTACTTCTAACCTTACACATGAAGTTACTATGGTTCTTCTTTATGTTGTTCCTTCCCTTGTTATGATTCTCTTTTACTCCATCAAGTACTCTCACATTAGGAAAGCATGTGCCCTTTGTTAATTGGCCCTCGTAACATTTACCAACCGTTGTAGGCCTTTTTAAGTTATTACTGATAAATTAAAAAAATGTAGTTCTTCATTGATTCATGGTCAATGATCGTCTGTTACTAATGCTGAGATCAAATCACAGTCCTACCTAATCATTTGTTCGTTTAATGTTTTCTCAAAAGTTTGATTTGTTCAATTTTTTTGTGATATGTATATTCTTTTTCTATATTTATATAGAGGTATGCGTTATTACTCGATCTACATCTTTCTTTTCTTCTTCTGTTCAGCTATTGTCCTTGACCTTCTATTTCACATTATCATTCATCTTCTTGCACATGTTAAACTTTAATCTTCTAGTGGAAGTCCATGACTGGTTGACTTCGGTTGCTGCACCAAAATTGTTGTTTCTTCTTTCTGTGTGCGCATGCATGCCTGCTTGTGTTCATTATTGCAAGGTCCATAACTAAGGCCATTTCAGTTATGCTGAGATTGTTGTGGCAGTTGAAGCCACAGAGGTATGGCAGAAAATGGATTGGTTGAGTTTGTTTTTCTTATGAGAAAAGCTCTACTAGAGAAGTAAGCTGGCTTTTGCTTGCATAAAGCACATGAGGCTAATTACTTTCATAAATTTTGCCAAGCATAAAGATTGTTTCTTTCATCAACTCCTGGGAAGGGTTCTCTGACTTGTGTCAAGAACACAGGCAAATATGGTTGGATGCTTTGTGTAACTAAGTCCTGGGTTCCTCCATTGCTCAGCAGGAAAAGTAAACCCTTAATTGTAGCAATGTTAAGACAGGATAAAGAGTTAGCAATGTTAAGACAGGATAAAGAGTTAGGATAAAGAGTCGATCAGCATTACAGTTTGTACGACCAACATTTTCTATTGGTAACCTGCTCATGTTTGCATCAATCTTTTAGCAAGTTCTTTAGGTTGTTTTTTTCCATGGTTGAGGAGTCATTCGATACAAAAATCTGAGATTGCTGCTTTGGGGTTCGGTTCTAGTGATACTGCTCACTGATAGCTGGTCTAATGATGCATCAACTATTGCCCCATGGCTTAACGTGACACACTTGAGGGGCCATTTGATACGGAAACTGATGCAACATGTAACTTATACTATTGCGTAGCAGTTTATGTGGGGTTCATAATTATATTATTGTAGGTAGGCTCACAAACCTAGCGACCTTTCTGAGCTGGATACTGACAAAGGTACAAGAACATGAAATGAACAGCCATTAATCTTAATTATGGTAGCTAAGGTCGATCCAATGTTCTGGATTGGGAAGTTGATGCTCTAGTTGATTGTAAATAATGAAAATTTTGAACTGGATGGTGGTTGTCATTGTCTTTGAGGTTTACAGCCATCAAGCAGTATCTATTTTCCTTTTTTTCTTTTGTATGCAATCTTTCACTTATAGAGTTCAATCATGGAGGTTGGTGGTATCGGTTACATATTGTCATGGGCCAAGACAACAATGTGAGTAATGGATTTTCTGACACCGTCAATTTAGTACCAAGGCTTTTCAAGCAGTGTTATTAGTTATTTCATGCAAAGAAGAAAAGGTAGGTATCAAAACAATAGGTGAGAGATGAGAAAACGATGGTTGAAAATATCCTAGACAAAGCTGTAGCTTTAAGTAGCAGCAAGCAGCAGGCGGAGCTAAAACATTTCTTTCAAGAGATGGAGGAGAATTAGGAGACAAACCAAGACTCAAATGAATGTGGAATGTCAATAGGAAATTATAAATTTTACCGTACTTGGTTTTAAGAAATAATCAGATGAAAGGAGGATGCAAATAGCCCTTTTGAAGTTAGCTGGACTGCCTTTGGGTGTATATTTTATTCCATTGCTCCTCATTGCTTGTCAATTTTGGTGCTAAAGGAACTAATGGAGTGCCTTCCATGCATAGTGAAAACGACTTCTTAACCAATACCTATTTCTTGAATACTTTGGTGGATCGCAACCTATTTCTGCAATGCTTTTGTATCTCTCTTTAATTTGTTACTTCATCCAGAGGGACTGTGTGGTAGTTTCTGTTATTCTTTCGCTTTCTCTGCTTGTGTGAATACATAGCCCTTAAAACCTCAGGACGGAGAGTGGTTACAGTAAATTAGTACTCCAACTATTAAGTATGTTTTGGTTGTTTGGGGTTTTGAAGAGGGCTATTAGATTGAATTATGATTCCTTCCAAGTAATAGTCTTTTCAATCTTGACCTGAAACTTGGCATTCTTGTTTCTACCCAATTGTTCATTTCATCTATGCATAAATTTATATCACTCATTTCATAGCGTACTTCTACAATAATTGTGTTCAGTTATTTTATTGTCTACAAATTAGAGGAGAGTAAGGCTTCAGATGAAGGTGCTGCACCTTAGAAAAGGGATTACCCCGAAGATATGCTGATACAACAAAAATATGCAGATGATACCATAAGCTAAAAAAGCAGACAAAGTGAAGTCATGGATACCTAAAAAGCAAAAAAAACATGATTGTCTAGCACTAATTATCATCGGCTGGCCCTTGTTGTAGAGATTTGTTTAAACTATTAGTGGTGGGATGTGAGCTCATTTTGATAGTTATTATTAAGGTTGAACCTTAGGAAGACAGCACCAGCCCCTTAGATGAATGGCATCATTTGTGCGGTGACTTTGGCTCATATGATATGATGATTTTGTTCTGATCTTTCTTTTTATATAATAGTCCTCCAATTATCAAAAGAAAAGGCAGGGAGGGAGGAATATGTAGAAGGACAATGAACAAGTAAAATATTTTTTTTTGCCTTGACAGTAAGCATCAAGGCAATATATGTAATCTATCTAAAAGCCATGGAAATGAAGTTTGTCTGTAGTCGAGCAGTGTTTGCACCCAGCAGAAGATTGCAGCTTTTTTCCACCCACCCTCTCCCTCCAGGATAAAAGGTACAAGAAAGAAGGGGGAAAAAAAGGCTCCCTGTATTTTTGGCCCTAAAGTTGGGGTGTGACCTAAGAATCCAGCTGATGCCCACAGGGGAGGATGGTTACTTCCTCACCTTTCTTAGTGTATGCCCCTGGCACTTGAAAGGATGTTTCCATGGGAATTCACAGAGACATGAACTCGTCACTCCAACTTCAGAATAATCCTTGCTTGGGTAACTGGAGTGCTAAGTCAAGAGTCACTACTTTCTTTCTCCATCTCTTGGAAGAGAGTGTAGCCTTTTTTGGTCATTATACTAGATATCATTAGAGGACAATGAGAGGGACCAGAAAGGTGAGGGATGGGGATCACCTTAAAAGATTTTATTGGTCTCCCTGAAACCAATCTGCCAGAGTGTTCTTGGAACAAGCCTACAAAGTTTTAATTCCTAAACATCTGAAGAGGGGGTAGTGCCACAATTATTTAGTTTGGTCATGGTTTTCAAATTAGTCAGGTTGGTGTATGTAATCTTATGTTGCCAAGCTCTGTGTTATAGTACTCTGTTAATGTGAAACCTAATATCTAACACAGTGCAACTTCTCGTCATTTACTACTCCTGTGATTGCAGAGGTTATTGCAGCTCAGAGAGTCTGACACTGTCACATGGTGCTGAATCAGTGGAGAGGCTTTGGTGGGGCTGCGAGATTTAGTTCAATCATGTCACCTTGGAGCAGTCTGTGGTATATCTCCTCCACTACTTTCTTCGTTAATGATGTTATCATACGATATGAAACTCCCACTAGGAAAAGAATCATGGAGCCACCACTGCATGCATTGTCTGAGGACTAGAAAGAGGGAGGAAGCTTTTTGGAGACCTATGAAGCTTCTCATCAAAAGGGCGAAAGAATTAGGAAAGGTAAGGAATGAAAGGGCAGTAATGCTACGCAGTAAAAAGTGACCGGAGAGCAAGAGGAGAGAGTGAGAAAGGGAAAAGCCAATTATGCAGGCAATTTGATGGTGATCTTGTGACCGAACTTGTTATCTAGCGATCTTGCTGAGTCCTGACCCTGACGTTGTCTGCGCAAGTGACAAATGAGTGCTGTCATCAGTTGTGAGTCCACCAAGACAGCTCTATCTGTCCCCATAAGTTATGTAATCTCTGTACGTATTATGATCTCACTGTCAACTGATAAGAACTGGAAGCAAGAACACTTCCTATGCCACTGAAGAATCTTTAGAGACAACATTGTTTGTAGTTCATGTTCCGAGGCATGAACCATACTATTATTCTTTTTACCGTTTTGACTCTTCTCAACCTAGCTAAATTGAGCAGGCCTAGTTCACTGCCTTGAGCAAGACGAACATATTTCAATTGGTCATCAAGCACACCGTGTGATCATGAGTTTGAAAATCCTGGTCTAAAATTTTCAGATTTTGAAGTTTGTTACCTGTGTGATCATCAAGAGTATTGAAGATCCAGTTCTGAGAAAGAAATTTCCACAGAGCTGAAGGAGCTTCTTCTCATGGAAGAACAGATGGAAGAAAAATCTAAGCAACCAACAGGTACAAGTTGGAAGAGCAGGTAGCTAGCGAGCTAGCTGGCTTGATGTGAGTATGGAATAAGTTTGGCTATTCTTGAGTTAGACGATTGGTTTCATATAATTAAAGATATTTCTCATATATCTAGTACTTTGCAGATGCTAAAGATTTTGGAAGGGGGATGTGCTTGAGAAGGACATTAGTCCTTAATAAGAGGAGTCTCCCAGCGAGGCACTTCCTGGAAGAAGACCACAACCACCACAGTAGTAATGGCGACATCTTGGTCTTAAAAAGCGGCTACGTTTCTACTCAGTTTGCGTCTCTATCAGACACATGTAACCACAGGTATGGTAGGTGGCTCCCAGATTCTACTGTGAGCAACAATTAGCAGCAGCAGGAGACGTCTCCAATGCCACCACTAATCATTGCTTTCCGAGGACCGCTGCCACCGGAGATGGATCAGCTCCCTGTTACTACTCCGTGTTCGTTCCTGAAACACTATGCATCTATCTGAGTTATCTATTAGAGATCCAAGTGCAGAATAACCTTGCATTTGCAGGTTGCAGTAGTACCTGCAAGTTGCCACTGTGCCATCTGATAATGATGTCAGACATATAGAAGCTCCAGTACTCGTTTGAGTTCCTATCTTGGCAGAAGAAGGATTTTGGTAGGTCTTGAGTCATTTATTGCTTTTAGATTAGGGTAAAGCCAAGTCATTTCCACCTTTGCAACGTTAAGCTTGCTTGAGCAGATACTTACCATCCATGGCTGTCGTCTACTCAACAAAATTATTGCAGCAGTAAGGTAGAAGCTGTAGCTGGCGAAGACGACTGCACGAACTTCCTTTTCATCCCATTCTCTGTGATAAGGAAGCTAATGTCAGTGATGCGTGAGCTCCTGTTGCGGAATGTGGTATGAAGTATGATGCTCAACATGCACAGCAAAAGAACGAGGTTAGGAAAGAGAGGAAGGGGGGGGGGTGGAGTGGAGGGGTCTGTCTTAACCACTGCCTTGTCTGCTAAATCTCACTAATCTCTTCCGTGTGACTAAAGCACGGGAGAAGTGAAGAGAAGGAGCATAGGGACCATACGCGAGTCAGAGGCTAAACTCTGCAGGCGAAGTAATAGCAGACGGTGGCGTTGCAGTCGAAGAGCTGTTCTCGTCGTCGGAAATGGAGTCAGTCGGTGGCAGGGAGCTGCAACCTTGAAGAACTACAAGTGAGGGGAAGAAAGCGTAAGTGCCCGAGTACTACTACTCAATTGTGATGGAAGGCATGCTTAGGCTCTCCTTTTTCTCTTATCACTTGTTTCTGATGTCCTTTAATGGGAGCCTCGCAGAGCGAACATCAACCTTTAATACTCGCTTCTCTCTCTCTCTCTCTCTCTCTCTCTCTCTCTCTCTCTCTCACTGGTTGGGCTTCTTTGTTGCAGTCTTGCTATAAGAGGAGAAGCGGAGGAGGAGGGGAAGTACTCCAATCAATTGATTTAAGCATGGACGCCTACGAGGCGACGAGGATAGTGTTCTCCAGGATCCAGAACCTGGACCCGGAGCACGCCGCCAAGATCATGGGGTTGCTCCTGCTGCAGGAGCACGGCGAGAAGGAGATGATTCGCTTGGCCTTCGGCCCCGAGTCACTCCTGCGCTCCCTCGTCTTGAAAGCTTGGAAGGAACTCGGCCTCGTCCCGGACCCGAGCTCCTCTGCCCCCTGCACGCCATTCGGCGGCGGCAGTTCGGCTTCCCCCTTCCTCCGCCGCCAGAACTCCGCCTCCCGCCTTCCCGCAAGGGGGCTCCCGTCGCCGCTCGCTGTCTCCTCCCCGTCCTCATGGCGCTCCGACAGCAGTAGCGGCTGCAACGGTCTGAATGGGTCGTCGGACGAATTCCAGAACTCGGACGAGCTCATGAGCCCCGGTAATCTCAGAGCGTCACCCTTCTATGGCGTCGGTGGCGACGGTGGGGACCTAATTGATGAGTTTCATCGCTCGGACCAGCTTTCCTTCCTCAGCGACGCCGCCGCCGCCTCTGATTACAGCTACCCCCTTTCTTTCGCCTCGAAGCACGTAGGCGACGTGTTTCAACCGGACCTCGAGTGTCGGAGCCCCAGCAGCAACGGCGATTGTACGCTCTTCCCTTACGGGGTGGGCTCGGGAGTCGACGGCTACTACCACCGTCGGAGCTGCTCCGCCGCGGACCTCGGCCTCGGTGATCCCGCTGCCGGGTTCGGATGGAGGCCGTGCCTCTACTTTGCTAGGGGCTACTGCAAGAATGGTACTGCGTGCCGGTTCCTCCATGGGCTCCCAGAGGAAGCTGTGGTCGCGCCATCCGTGGTCGGCGGCACCAAGATGGATGCGGTGTTGGAGCAGCAGTGCCAGGAGCTGCTACTAAGGTCTAAGAGCCAGAGGATCGATGGCGTTTCACAGCTCATGGCCTCTGCGTTTCCATACTCCCAGACGGGCTCAGTGCCACCATCTCCGTCGTTGTCCTCCAGCAATTCCCTGAGCTTCTTGCTTCAGCAGCAGCAGCAAAATGAGAGCCAAAGGTACCATCTTTCTCGCATTAAATTGTTTGCAACTTGGCGTCTGTCTCAGTGATGCGTCTTTGAATTCGAGGATCTCAAATCGCTGCAGGGCTACAGCTGTGGCGGCGGCAGCAGCACTGATGCTGGGGGGGGATGATACCCACAAGTTTGTCTGCAGATCAAGATTCGAAAGAAACGATTTGATGGCAAATCCTGGTTCGAGGCAGATCTACTTGACCTTCCCAGCTGACAGCATCTTCAGCGAGGAGGATGTCTCTAACTACTTTAGGTTGGTTGATAATTCTCTTGTTCCTACAGATCGCTACGTTGCTTTACAGTTCTTCAATGCTTATGGTCTCCCTTCCTCTGCCTTCATGTTCTAATCTTTAGTTAGCGATTATTTGTTCGGTTCGTAGCATCTATGGGCCTGTGCACGACGTGAGGATCCCTTACCAGCAGAAGAGGATGTTTGGCTTCGTGACCTTCGTCTACCCGGAGACTGTGAAGATGATCTTGGCTAAGGGCAACCCGCACTTCGTATGTGATTCCCGAGTTCTTGTCAAACCCTACAAGGAGAAGGGAAAAGTCCCCGACAAGTACAGGCACTCTTCCCTCCTCATCCTTAATAAGAAGTATCTTTTATTGTGGGTTTTGATCTGTGCCACTGAATTGTAACATGGTGGCCTTTGCAACCTCTGACCTCAGGAAACAGCAGCAGCATGCTGAGAGAGGAGGTGATTTCTCTATGTGCATGTCTCCCACAGCCCTGGACGCTACCGAAGCCTATGACCTTCAACAGCTTGGTTAGATCCTCTAACCAGTTTTTCTCCCTTTTTTCTCTTTGTTATCATTATGTTTTGTTTTTAAGGTTAGTGAAGTATTTTTCTGATGACATAACAGGAGCAAGGAGGTTGTACAACGGCAGCAGTCAGGAACTACTGCTGAGAAGGAAGCTAATGGAGCAGCAGCAACAAGCAGCAGAACTGCAGCGAGCCATTGAGCTGCAAGGGAGTCGATTTATGAATCTCCAGCTCAATCTCAACAAAAGAGGCCTCTCCAACTCCCCCGCTATCGCAGTCACTCAATCACTTAGTGATGTTGATAGGAGCAGTAATACTAGCAGTAGTAGCAGCAGTAGCCATGAAGGATCACCAACAGAGGGTATGTTAACTTATCATGACCACTTTCTTGTTGTTCTTTTGAAGATAGAGTTAATGGCTTGATTTGCTAGTAGTTGACTTTATGCTCTTCATATAGAAAAGAGCCTCAGTGCCGTGTTACCAGAAGAGAAGCCCAACAGTTCCGATGGGTTACTCCAGCAGAAGGCAGATAAGGAGGAATCTGCCGGTGAGCCGAACCCCAAAGAAGACAGTGATTTCCAACCAAGGTAATTGCTTGAACATCAAACAACCTACTATTTGTTCTCTCCCATATAATTCTTTTTACAGTTGCAATATTTTGAAGTGCAACATAAACAAACAATGAGTGAATAATGTGTTCCGTCATGTTTTCTTCTCCTTCCGAAGCAAGATGGGTAAATTTGTTTAATGTGCCTATAACTTGGCTGCAGCATTGAGCATAACCTGCCTGATAGCCCATTTGCTTCCCCAACAAAATCCTCATCCATGCTCGACTCTTTCACTGCCAGTGAAGACGTGGCTACTTCATACATTGTGAACAACAGCAGCACCAAGGACTACTTAATTGCCTCCACATTGCTGCCCACCACTTTGTCATTAGACATGCCTTCCTTCAGCTCATGCTTCTTCCAGATGCCAAGGTAAAAAGGAAAAGGGAAACACTAGCTGCACAATTGTTGTTGAACAAATTCATTGAACTAAGTTTGCAATGGTTCTTCTACATAAAACTTACTACAGATCATTTGTGACCTTTAGCAGGTTCTCTGGTCAAGGAGAAATTGGAATGTAGACGTGAAGAATCCCAGTGGAGTGATCGAGGCCTCCCCTTAAAGGTGAGCCTCGATCTCTGCCCTTTGTTACATGAAAACTTCACTAGTAGCTTATGGCTGTTTCTTCTCATTTTGGAACTTTTGCTTGATTTCTATCAGGTATCTCCTAGTAAAGCAAAAGGATAGTGGAACATAAGAAAAGAGAAGCTGCAGAATGGTTCAAGGTTTATGGTTCCCCCCTTTTTTTTCTATTTTTTTCCTTATAGTTTCTAAGTGTAAGCATTATAGGAAGGTCTTCCAGTGTCACCTCACATTCCCTTATCTACAGAAAATTAGAGAATTATGACAAGGAATAGCTGCCATCTATGAGCAATCAATCAGCCAATACACCAGCCATACATCCCTACCTCTAATATTGCTATTGCCACCAACTAATACTATCTATAGCTACCCATCACAACCCACCAAGATATATAATAATCTACTACACAGAATACAGACGACAAAGAACATGACATAAAGCCAGACTGATTACTGTGACGGAATAGGTCAGCAGGAAAAGAAATAGCAGCAGAGATGATGGACTACTTCCAAGTCAGGGTGTATGGGGAGCAAAAGAGAAGAGTTGGAAGTTGTACATGCCTGCAAGCGTTCGTGTTCCTCCTTGATGGTAGTCTCTCTCTTGTACACTATCAAATGGCTTTTACTTTACCTTTTACTTTTATTTGATGATCCAGTGTAGGTGACATCAATATAGTAGACAAAGGATTTATTAAAAAGATGTTCTAGTTTTGCTGAAGTGTTTTGCATGTATGTAATGAAAAGACTAGAGCCTAGTAGGATGTGAGAAAAAGAATATGTTGGGCTTTCTCATTGAATTTTTATTTGCAGGAAACAGTGTAAATAGTATTATGGAGGACTAGACTATACATGTTAAAACCTTTATGTGAGGTCCATGTGCCAAAACCCACATCTTTGATTCATTGTTTTCTCCAATTGGGTTGTTCTATAAGAAATGTTTGGGTTAATTATGTTCTTATTTGAAGCCTTGGGAGCAGGGAGGGAAAAATGAAGGACCAGGGTGCAGACTCTGATGTCACTATTTTGAAACAGGATGAGATAAAGAGTTGGCAGTATGAGTGGATAAGCTCTTAGGCCAACATAGAGGTGACTCCAAAGGCAAGCATTCAACCAGCTATAGCTGTGGATCCTCCACACATGAGACAGAGACCTGTCTCTGTTTTAGATCCATTTTCCATGTGGGCATGAGATTTCATCTCCTACACAATCTATGCATTCTGAATTAGCCTTGCATGATTATTATCTGTGATGAGTTTCCATCAATCTAGGTTTTTGGATCTCATTTTTCTTGGTTCCTCATAGGGGTCATGGATGCTAGGAATCATGCTTACATGTTTTGTCCAGATTCACAACATCAATAGACCTGAGATTGGTGTTTGCAGCTACCAAACCTCTATACCTTTAAGGAGGAGAACGTTGATTGTTTTGCTTATTAAGTAGATTTTTATTTTGAAATATATAGCCTATATCCCTTTAGTTCTCTCTTATTTATAGAGGTTTATGTCAAACTTTTAACTCTAATGAATTCTGTTTTATTGGGTATTGAATCTTTATCTAATTATCCAAGCATCTTGATTAGTTGATCTTTACCTAATAATCTTATTGGATTTTATCTACGAGATACAATAATTCAGGAGTTTATTATATTATAATAAGATAGGGGTTCTAGCGGATATCTCATATCTAAATCTCAACTCGTTGCAACACCTATCATATGTGTGTGACCTTCTAAAACCAATATTGAGTTGGTTATGAGTCATATCTATCATAACTTCTTCTAACTCAATGAATTGTTTTCTTATAATATCACTCGACTCATCGATTATGGACGTACTAAGCCATTATGTCATAGTCCCTAGACGATACAGGAGCATCCAACTTGTCTATCCTCAATTACTATGTATTTATAGTCTCTCATCAATCTAATATCCCAAATATCATATACTGAGCATGGTGTTATCAAGCTCATACGAAATTTACTCGAGTCTCGCTTTAATCAAATTCTCCCGAAGAACTTTCTCTCTAAATCCGAATGACCTTGGCTAGAGATTTACTTGAGCAAAAACACATAGGATCTTTTATGATATCGAGAGCGGATGATCCTCTATCGATCCTCAATTACCCTCATAAGGTTGGCTACCACTCCCGATGATTAGTTATGTTAGATTTGAAACCACTAGACCTATAAGTCCAGTATCAAAGAACGAAGTATTTTTATAGGGCATCTTTGATGTCTCAAGTCTAAGGACTAAACACACAATTGAGATCACGAAATCGCTATCTAACAATGAGGTATTATTAACCATCTAATATTCCGTGAGCGGATCAATCAATGAACTCATTCTAGAATGAGCACTTGCACTGTATCCCTAGTGTCCTTATATGAGCAACTATGAGAACATTTACCTCTATCATATAGACGAGTATACAATATACTAATCTATCCAATTATCTTGATGGCCCTCTCGAGTAACCTACGACTAAGATTATTTAGGATATGTGTTTAAAGGTGAATCAGTCTAATTATTATGATTTTATCACGATCTGATTCTCATTGCATAGATTCATGGATACCATAATATGCATAACATGTAACATAAAATGTGAAAATACCAATAATAATAATAAGTAAAAAGACTATATAACATGTCACACGTGCTATCGCTCATGTGATTGGCTTACAAGGCACATATAGCTAACAAGATGTTAGTGTTGTAAGCTAAAGAAAGAAAGTTATATTGCCTTAAAATAGATTACATCAATTTAGTCGAGCCTCTGCATCTAAAATGAGGTCCCAACCTACCAAGATATAGGACTGGTCATATGAACAAGCCTAATAATGCTATAAACAAAAGACACAAGGAGCAAGTCATGCAGATAGACTCGATGACTTGCAATAGGCTAGGCATCAAGATGAGGTAGCGAGTCAAGACCATCGTTAAAAGGCACTTCGGGCGCTATCGGGATGTACTGATCCTCGGGGTAATCGGTAAACGAATCTACCTTAAGCTACATCCTTATGTATCTATTCCTGAAATAGGCTAAGGCGATATATTACATGTACTAATATAAGATGACTCTCGATCTCTCGAAGCCCCTCCTAAACCTAGCGAAGGCCTTGTAGTCGGTGATTGTCTCCTCCCAATACCTTAGTATTATGCGTTGCTCAGTCTCCAACGCCTCCTTCAGGCCTCGAACCTACTTAGTGATGCTCATGACCTACTGATTGGCTGCGTCGACTTGCTCAATGAGCTCCGAATTGTATGTTCTCATTGAATCTAGCTCTCGGGTGAGTCATAGTAGCTCATTCTCCATGTTTTGGTTGTTGCTCTAGACCTTTCTCAACTACTCGGCATAATCGGTAAAGTGTCGCTCAACCTCCTATAGTTGCCTTGCTAGCTCAACCCCTCGAGCCTCTACCTTGGCAATAAGTGCAGGGTCCCCTCTCTCCTTTTTTAGCCCCTTTACTTCTTTACAAAGATTGTCAATCATAAGCGACTACCGATGAATGATAGAGTTGACATTCTGTACACGGTTAATGAGGGTTGTGACGTAATCATGATGTAATAAACCAAAGACAAAGGGGTAAGCAATGAGAAAATGAAGGGGCTAATTATGACTTAACTTACAAGCACTTCAATGTGGTAGCACGTGTCAATCAAGACCTCTAAGGGGGAGCGGTAAATCTACTTCACCACTCATAAGCATAAGGACCCCCCAGCAATACTATGTATATATCTTCACTCCATGCTTTTTGCTCCGATTGTAAACCCTCTCATCTTGACCGTAGCGATGTACTTAAAGCCAGGTTCGATAGGTCAACTATCTATAATGCCATGAAGGGTAATGACATACATCAATATTAAAACTATAGAAGATTACCTATAGAAGGGCAAGGACATACTTCAAAGGTGTACCTATAGAAGATTAAAACCACATATATGACATTTAAGTCATACCTTATGGGGCTAGGTTGAGACCTGCATTGTTCAGCGAGTCCTTATCCATCTTTTAGATAACCTTTGAAGAAGAGAATTTATCTCTCAATCGGAGCACTTTATCAACTTCCTCATTTGACACGAATGAAAGCGTGTTATTTATGGGGTGTGTCAACTAAGCGAGGTTGAACCCCCAATCCCGACCTGAATCTATACTGAAGAAGCACTCCTTGTAACCCTTATTGTTAGAAGGGGCACTACTAACTCTAAAATCCTCTCTAGTAATCAAGCAATAGTCGCTTTTCCCCTTACATAGCTTAAAGCAAGTAGTAAAGAGTTTACGGGTAAAGGTAATACCAGCACGTCAGTATTCTCTAATGAACATTACTGAGTCACGAGTTGGGCACCATTCGTGAGAGCGATATCCTCCACCATTGGAGGCAAAATACTATCATCGGGTGGAGGAAAAAAATGAAGTCTCGTCTCTAAAGAATTAGAAGACAAGCAAAAGGACTTTAACATGGGGTCGAACAGATAGTGATTAGATCGAGGGATTTGCATATCAAACTTGACTGGAATGGAATACTTGATCTGTAAATGATCTAGGAGTTATGCACTCACCATTGAATTTGTATCGTATATACTTTTTATATATTCTAAGGCCCAAAGAACCATACGGTTTACAAGAATTGACTCCCCTAATGAGGGGGAGGTTGGGACTTCCCTTACCCTTGGGCTATCCAAGGACAAAACATTGACCTCCACGGTTGACCGATGGCTGTGAGACTAGGAGGAGTTGGTGCGAGAAAGGAATCTATAGAGGAGGAAGTGCAGGATGTTGGAAGACCAAAGTATTGTTGAGCTGATGTGTTATGAAGACAAGAAACCCAAGAATCAAACTCACCTTAGAGAAAACCGAGGCTAAGTAGAGGTAGCTCCTAAGGAGGCTTTGGAGGCTCAAATAGAAGAATATGCCTCAATCCACCATACTCAAGAGGGATTTATAAGGAGGTGATCAATCTCTCTCCTCCTATGATAATTACAAGTGTCTTTTCGGGTCGATTCTAAAGGAACATCAATTGACGAAGGGATACCTTGGAAAGCACGCAAGTGACCAATATACGAAGACCACTTTGGAAAGCACACAAGTGATCGATATGCAAAGACCATCTTGGAAAATACAAAAGTGACAAATGCACGAAGACCAAAGGAACATACAAGTGTGCCTTAGGCACGCGAGTTGAAAAATTATGACCCGTGCTAGAAGAAACTTGTTAGGGGGGAAGCACAAGACAAAATATGCTCGAGGTGTGAGAGTTGAGAAAACCTGACTCGTGTTAAAAGAAACCCACCATAATGGAAGTCATAAGACAAAATGTGCCTAAGGCATAGAGGTCGAGAGTTCCGACCTACACTAGAAGAACCTGCTATGGTGGGAGGCACACGACAAAATATACCCGAGGCATGGAGGTCGGGAAGTCTAACCTACATCAGAAAAATCCACTATTATGATGAGAGGAACAAGATAAAAATGTGTCCGAGACATGAGAGTCAAGAAATCCAACCCGCACTAGACGAAACCTGCTATGATAAGAGTCATAAGATAAAATGTATATGAGGCATACGAGTCAAAAAAAACTCGACCCGTGTCAGAAGAAACCCATCATGACGAGAAGCATAAAACAAAATGTGCTTGAGGCATGGAGGTCAAGAAGCTCAACCTCCGGCTTGGCTTAGGCACAAAGGTCAGGGAGCCCAACCTCCACCTCTATCCAAGGTGAGGAAGTCGGAAAGCTTGACCCCACCTCTACCCAAGGCATAAAGGTCAAGAAACTCGATCTCCACCTCGGTTGAGGTACGAAGGTTGAGAAGCTCGACCCCTGCCTCTGCCCTAGGTGTAGGTGTCAGGAGGACCAACCTCGCTTCCACCCAAGGCATTGGGGTTGAGAAGCTCAACCCCCACCTCTACTCGAGGCATGGAGGTTAGAAAGCTCGACCCCCACCTTTGCTTGAGGCATAGAGGTTGAGAAGTCCAACCCCCACCTACAATTGAGGCATAGGGGTCAGGAAGTTTGACCTCCGCCTCTACCAGAGGTGTGGAGGTCGAGAAGCCTGACACATGCCTTCGCGCTCGACCCCCACCTCCGTCGGAGGTGTGGAGGTCGGGGTACCCGACCTCTACCTTCGCTCAAGGCATGGAGGTTAGAAACTCCGACCACATCCGATCGAGACATGTCCCTTGATAATATGAGGAGCAAGTCAGTACTGAATCGCCACCAACAATGCTTGAGGAGGGGATTCTGGATGGATGTTCCGAGCGAACTCATTCCGAATGATATGAGGTGTATAATGGACTAAATATGCTAAATGAACTCGTGCCGAACGAACTAAACATGTCAATAAGTCGACTATGGAACGAAGAGGTATGAACTTGATATATCAGATGAACCAAATATTGCACTTTGAACCCCTTTAACAAGAACCTCGAAGCATGCCTTCTGGAGAGAGAGAGTATAAATAATGAGTATGTCATTAACCAATTATCATTCATCATGCAACCATCACAGAGTATCCAAGGTAGAAGAAGATAATGTTACCCTCCACCCTTTTGCCCACACGAGTAGATATCCAAGGCTACGTGTTACCCCCTTCCTTCTTGCCCACGTAGATAAGAGGCCAAGGAGAGATTGTTGAAAGTGGTTAGAAGTTACCTCTTCATAGAATATTCTCTCTTTATAATCATGTAAAAAAATTCATCTCTAAGTGGGATCTTATCTTTTTTTACTATTCATGTTTGTACTCATACTCATCGGGTTACTAATTTTTGAAGTGTCGAAGATATCAGGTCAAGAAATCTCTCTCGATCTTAGTCTTCGTACATATGATATCTCGATAAACCTATGCATATAAATCTAAATGACATAAAACTAAGATAGATGTGAATGATATCTTCCCGCGACGCTTAGTTCTACCACCGCTCATCGAATCCTATCCAAACGGGGGTGAGTAAAAGCTGTAACACGGTAAAAGTTTGCCGCGGAAGGCCACAGCTTTACCGAATGGTTGGTTCGTTGGTGGTATCAGATCCGGAGTTCTCTAACACACAACCCGGATCCGTGCGCTCCTCCCTGTTACGAGACCCTGCACTCGCGTAGCCTCCGCGTGTGGCCCACTCTGGCCCCATAACTGCGTTAATCCCTCTCTGCTAACCCCCGCCCCTCTCGCTGTTTCCTTGGTCCTCCTCATCTGGTGGAGTGCAGCCTGCAACTTAATCCTCTCTGCTACCCCCGCCCCTCTCGCTCTTTCCTCGGTCCTCCTCATCTGGTGGAATGCGGACGCAGAAGCACGGAGAACCGAGCAATGGAGAGAAAGCCTTTGAAAGGTTCAAAGCCAAATCCATCATAAATTATGACTCCCACCGGAGCCCAACTCGTAAAGCCACGAGCCGAGCTCTCCTCCCTCCGCGTCGAGCGTAGGGAGGGCAACGGGCGAGAAGATGTCGAGCGTCGTGCTCTTTGCGCTTCTCTCTCTTCTCTGCCTCTCCACTGTCAAGGCCGAGGACCCGTACCTCTTCTTCACGTGGAACGTCACGTACGGCACCGCCTCGCCTCTCGGCGTCCCTCAGCAGGTCATCCTCATCAACGGCCAGTTCCCCGGCCCCAACATCAACTCCACCACCAACAACAACATCGTCATCAACGTCTTCAACCACCTCGACGAGCCCTTCCTCTTCACCTGGTCTGTTCTCCATCTCCATGCACCTCGAGGCGCAAGTTGCTGATAAGCTTGCTCTCTTCATACATGCTTTTATGTGGTGGCAGGAACGGAATCCAGCACAGGAAGAACTCATGGCAAGATGGCATGCCGGGCACTAACTGCCCTATTGCTGCTGGCACAAACTACACCTACCACTTCCAGGTGAAGGACCAGATCGGTAGCTACTTCTACTTCCCCTCCGTCGGCATGCACAGGGCGGCCGGAGGCTTCGGCGGCCTTCGTGTCAACAGCCGCCTTCTCATCCCCGTGCCCTTCGATGACCCTGCTGATGATTACACCGTCCTCATCGGTGACTGGTACACCAAGAGCCACAAGGTCCTCGCCCAGCTCCTCGACGCAGGCCGCAGCATCGGCAACCCGGCCGGCGTCATCATCAATGGGAGCCCCGGTAAGGACGCCGCCGGCAAAGATGACGCTCCGCTCTTCACCATGGAGGCCGGGAAGACGTACCGCTACCGCATCTGCAATGTCGGCCTGAAGGTGTCGCTCAACTTCCGGATTCAGTCCCACCTGATGAAGCTCGTGGAGATGGACGGGTCGCACACCGTGCAGAACGACTACAAATCCCTCGACATTCACGTCGGGCAGTGTTTCTCGGTGCTCGTCACGGCCAACCAGGAGCCCAAGGACTACTACATGGTCGCCTCCACCCGCTTCACCAAGTACATGCGGACCGCGACCGGCATCATCCGTTATGCCGGCTCCAGCGTCCCTCCGTCACCCGAGCTGCCGGCGGGGCCAGTCGGCTGGGCATGGTCCTTCAACCAGTGGCGGTCCTTCCGGTGGAATCTCACCGCCAGCGCCGCCCGGCCCAACCCCCAGGGCTCCTACCACTACGGGAGTATCAACATCACCCGAACCATAAAGCTCGCCAGCTCCGTCGGGCTCGTCAACGGGAAGCGCCGCTTCGCGCTCAACGGCGCGTCGCATGTGGAGTCCCCCACCCCACTCAAGCTCGCCGAGTACTACGGCGTCGCCGACAAGGTGTTCAAGTACGACACCATCGGCGACGAACCACCGGAAAGCAGTGCCACCATCACGGTCGCGCCTAACGTCCTCAACGCCACCTTCAGGGACTACATCGAGATCATCCTCGAGAACCCTGAGAGGAGCATTCAGTCGTACCATTTGGACGGCTACTCCTTCTTCGCCGTCGGGTAATCAAATCTCACTGCACGCCTGAGTTCGGCAGAGGAGTTCCGGTCCATGGTTGACGAGGTCGGTGTTTGACGTTGTGGATGCAGGATGGGGCATGGGAAGTGGACGCCGGCAAGCCGGAGGTCGTACAACCTTCTCGACGCAGTGAGCCGGCACACGATACAGGTGTATCCGAGGTCATGGTCGGCGATCATGCTGACGTTCGACAACGCGGGGATGTGGAGTCTGCGGTCGGAGCTGTGGGAGAGGCACTACCTGGGACAGCAGCTCTACATCAGCGTGGTGTCGCCGGCGAGGTCCCTGAGGGATGAGTACAACATCCCGGACAACACGTTGCTCTGCGGTGTGGTTGCCAGCCTCCCGAAGCCGCCACCCTACGTCTAACTGCAGGGACGGGAACAGGCGCCGCCCGCGGTGGAGAGGGAGCGAGAGGATACCTGATGAAGGAGAAAGGCATGTGAGACTAATAAGTGGCTTTTTGGCAGGGCCTTTTAGTCTTGTGATGTATTCGGCTCTAAATTTGCCGGGTTCTCCTCATCGCAAGTAAAATGTTAATGATTTATATATACAAAAGGCCTCAAGATTTACCTCCGTTGCTGTTAATGTTTTCTTCTTCATCATGCCGTGGTTGATGATAGACAACTAATTCCCATCTTTTACGCAATCACAGCCTCAGTACTTGATCTACATTCGGTTTCCTGCTTTACAGTCATGAACATATGGTTACACTGAATGTAGCAGAATAAGATTAGTGTACACGAAAACAACTTATGCAACATAAACAATTCTAAAGAGGAGTATAAAAGTCACAGCTTTCTTTCAATTTGTATATTTATAATCAACAAATAAGGCGTTCCAAGCTTTGTTAAACTAGCTTATACCAATGTACAAGATAGTCCAACACAGAAATGTAGGCTAAACTGCAAAGCTGAGTATATAAAGGCTGCATCCCACTTTCTTTCTTATCTCAATCTTACTGTCATTTTTGAATAGCAACTAATAAACAAATAGTAATTTTGATAGTCCGAGGGGGCAGGTGAGATTAAAAAGAAGTGGGATAAACAATTTTACTATGGTAAACAAGATCTTCTGCTGATAATTTGCATTCAGATAAGTCTCTCAATAAATATGCCATGCATTAAAGTTCTAATCTATATATCATGCATACAACTTTCAGGAAGATAACTAAACAATGGCAGACCACCGAAAGGGGAGGGAAAAAAAATTAAATCTACTCTAAATGCAATCGGCACCAATCAGATTCATGGTACCAGAAAAATAATCAGAATATGAATGGCAAAATCAACATTCATAGTCAGAACACAATTACCAGAACCGCGACATTACATTCCGCGGTCTCTGTAATCACATCTCTTGTTATACCAGGATTTTTTTCCGTTGACTTATCACCATGACAGTGTCTAGTCTCAGGACCCTCAGCTGCTTTCTCTAGTAATGGCTTGACAAAGCTCTCTTCCAAACCTCTTAATTTTCTAAGAATGCTTCTTGTCCTCATTTTACCTGATGCAGCTACCCTTAGATTCTGACAACCAACATACAGGAATATATTCTAGTATCAGAGAACAAACGATAGATTAATTTGTCATCCGCCACCGGTCTACCTGCACTGTTGGGGACATGCCAAAACTTTACGCAAAGATACAGTATCAGCTATGGATTTACATTGCATTCATCCATAAACTTTTCATCCTGTGTAAGATATATCTTCCAGTATTTTTTGTATTCTGGTATACCGAGATCAAGCCAAGGTTTCATTTGGCCATTGTAATGCAATGATGTAGCAGTCTTCATATCCTCTACATTGACACTGTAGTTGTGGCCAAGCCCTAGCAAAGACCACCTTTCACCGAGGGGGTATATAAGATTCTTAAGTGCGAGTAAGCCTGCTGGAAAAGCTGCAGCTCTAAGAGATGTTTCATTCTTTGTTCCGAACTGTCATGAGCACATTCAAATGTATGTTAGACTGGCAATAAAGCTCATTAATTATATATATATATATATATAATCCTACCAAGAACCAAAGGAACTTATTTAAGAATGATATGCACACTAATATATTCGTTTCAGTGCTAATAACAGGCATGTGGTTGGAATCATCCAGTGAAAAGCACAAGCATAAAGATAAATATGGCATTCTTTTTAGGAAGACTATTTTCTAACAGGCAGGAAATTGCATATAATGGTTAAGCAACATAATGAATTAGAATCAGATCTTTAAACAAAAAAATTCAGAGATAAGAATTAGATGCATAACTCAATAAAAATATCCAAAGAGTAAAAACAAAATTAAGAAATGCACTTAAGAATTAATATTTTAAAAAAATCAGGTGATAAAATTTTATGCACAATTGTTCAGTGATTTCTAGGAATACATAATTGTTAATGATTTGCATTGAATGAAAGAGCATTTTTGCCTGCTTCCATAATTTGGCAATGCATAAATCAGATAAACCTTTAAAAATACTCAATAACTTAATTATGAAATACTATACTTTTCTTTCATGATTCCATATTCATAAATTTTGGTTTAAAAAATCATAAAATTCAATGCAGTTGACTTAAAATCTCAAAAGTTATAACACTTACACTTTCGAGGAGTCGCAAATATGTCCCGGTGACATTATGCTCTCTCCACTTCTCCAAGTCAATAATATTTAATCCTGACATCCATGCACAAGAGTCAGCATCATAACTGTTTCTGCCCAAAAGCATTTTCAGCTGACCAAATCTCAGCCTACAGAACTCAATAGCACCATTCACTTTTCCTTGCAAGTGAAGGTTCCACAATGATGATAGATCACGCTGAACAACCACATCATCATCTAAAACCACCACCCTTTTTAGATTTTTGAATATTTCTGGAAGCAGATAGTGGGAGTGACCAAAAACTGTTATGTACTCGGTGCTCATTTGTGTAGTTGGTTGATCCATTTTATGAATGTAAGCACGGAATTCCACAGGCAATGATAGCTTTGTGAGGCCATCATTATGAAGGTGTTCCAAATTAAGTTCTTCAAAATTGATGACCACAATAGTTGCCTCTTTATAAGAATTTCTGACGAACCAAAGCTTCATACCGTAGTAATTTTGTGCATCCGTGACAACATGAAAGATCATATTTTGACTGACCTATTAAATCACAAAAAGAAATGCCATCAAGGACCAGCAGATAAAACAACTTCTATAACATTGCCCCTGTTATAAAGATAAAATTTACTCACCTGAGAGTTCACAACTGTTGAATTTATGGTAACTGCAGCTGCAAGTATGTTTTTGGAGAAAATTACAAAATGCATAAGATTTGGGCTGTCAAGTTTATTAGGATGAGAGTTCTTGGAATCTGTTGACAGTGATTTAAAAAACTCTACTGTCAATCTCATTGACAAGCAATGAAGACTTTTGGGCATGGTCTGAACGCCAAGTTGGTAGAGGAATGCACTTTGCTTCAAATGAAAATTGGCTTCATCCTCAGTAAGATCAAGGATCTGCCTAAGTTTCTTGTCAACATTTTTGCAATCTACAGTGCATGCTTTAGTTCTTGCAATAGTCTGCTCCATTTTCTGTATTTTCTTTTCCACACTGAAAACCAAGACAAATTTCTATTCATTTTCTATCATAAGGAATCATTAGCAAGATAAAACAGATTGGTGTATATAAGTAAATGGGCATAGTATTGGCCCATGTGGCTAAAGGCATGCATTATCAAATTTGCCAAAATAATGAGATATCATAGCTAATTCAGCAAAAAAAATTTATATATTTGAAGTCAACTCTCTCAAACTACACTGCAGCAACTGATATCAATGGCCATTAGACAAAATATTATGGTTAGATATACGATCAATGCTTAAAAGACCCAAATGATAGAACAATTAGAGATTACATGAAGACAATGAATGCCATGACACACCAATGACAGTATAGCATGAGATCTAGCACAGCATGCTTTGCTAGACAAACAAGAAGAGGGTCGATGCCTCTAACATGAGATATTATTATAAAAGTAATTCAGATGGCAAAGCGGAGGATATAGATCTATTCTAGACCTTTGTAGTTCAACATAAAAAAGAATGTTTTCATGCATTTGCAAAGCAGTTAAAGATCTGAAATGGCACATGCAAACTTTAAAAAATGAAAGGCTGTAAATTTAACGTATGACCAAGCTTAAAGCTTACAATGTTGGAAGATCAGCATCAACAATGGCTTCGCTAAGCATGTGCTCATGTTCCTGTATGTTTTGCTTCATATCATGAGATAACTTTTGTTGTCCATTAAGTTTTGCAAGGCTTGGATAATAAGCTCTGGCGACAAAGAGCTGATCTTTGAGTTTCTTCACAGTAGAATCGTCCATTACTTCTTTATGCTCTGTGGACCAAACACAATAGCTTCCAAATGTAAACTGACAATCTTTTCTGATTCCATCACCATTTCCACCTTCAGCATTACTCTTCTTGACATCCCTGCTACCAAGCTGGAGGAGAACGTGCAAATTTTATTGTCAGTTCTACATTGTGAAATAATAAACAAAATAAACAATCAACATACATGGCTTCACTTTAGTGACATGAATCCATAATAGCAACAGTCAGTCATGAAACACTCAAAGTGTCAATTAAGTAATGCAACATGCATAGAATTTAATTGATTGTAGTATGTCTGTGTAAAAAAGATATTAGTATATTACAGAAATAGCTCTCACAATATATATCATAAATCTTGTTCCAATTTCTTAGGAATATGCCATTCGTTCATACAAACATAACAATTTGCTATTACAGAAAGGTAACTCTTACCTTTGCAGTCAAGTCTGGAAGTGATCTTGATGGAACTACTTGTGGTTTAGGAAAAGCTGCAAAAAATAAAACAATATGGAACATCAATAGCATTTGGATCTCTACAAAAAGTTCACAATAAGAACTAAGCAGAGAGCAAACAGCATCGAGAAATTTCCTGATGAACTAGAACACAACTAATCTACATGGACCAGTCAAAATATTAACAAAATTGGTTCCCTAAACCAGTTTATACTAATACGTTACTGTTCCTGATAAATGTACATAACCAGAAAACAGAAAATTCCAGATTCAGCAGGTAAATTATTATAATTATTACTCCATACCATATGAAATATATTGGATGTTTGTCATGATTAAGAATCTCTTGCTAGCAAAGAAAGTCTGTGCTGAGAGACAAATAGAGGGCAAGACATGAGAGCACCACCCTGGTAGGTTGCCATTTTCTTGCAACCATATTTGATGTTGCAAGAAAATGGTCACCAACTGCCTAGCCCAGGTACATCCTGATATCCTAAATCTCTTTGTGGTTTTTATGCATCAAAGTCTAAACTTGGTCCTTATGTTCTCCCCTATATCTTTGAATATGGGAACTGGAAACTTGTGAAGGCAAAAAACCTCGAATATTTGATGTTGCATACCTTTCCGGTGAGAAATGATGACTTCTGTTTTATAGTGGGTACTGGTATTCTCTATTTGAGAACGAGAGTTCAAATTTATTTCTTTTGAGTTGGAACCAGTGCCCTTCCCTGCTACAACCAACTGCCCTGTGGAGTTAGTGTCAGGCCTTTGATTTAGCAGATCACCAGTTTTGGACAGGTCACTCGCATTAACATCCTGAAAAACACAAAAAAAGAGCTGATTTTGAGGAAGCTACTGAGACAACTCACAGATCGTAGACTGATAGATAATATGGATAAAACATCTCACTAAGATGTAGATTAGAGAACTGAAATAACCACATAAAGAAGATTATAATTCGAGCAAAGTAGCACAGTGGCCAGTAACACAATGAAAAGCCAGACAAGAAGTTTACTGCAGAATATCCTATCAGCCTGACAGATTTCAATCCTACCAAAATAATGAACCTCAAAATAATGCAAAAAATTACTCTGTAGTAGCATAACAATAACTATGCAATTCAATCCATGAGAATAGCTTAGCTCAATGGCAAATTTAAAAGCACATCAACATAATGCAATGACAAGTTGTTGAATTCAGATTCATTGTAAAGCACATCAACAAATACTAAGATATATAATTTGGACTCTAGCTGTGAAGTATGTGGAAACAAGGATATCATAAGTTCACTGTACTGAACAAACTTTTAGGCTCTTCTAGAACCAATTTTGAGAAGATAGAACCAAAACATGAAACCACGTATTCCTGGAAGGATGTCCTATATATATATATATATGCTTCTAAACTTTGGGTAGCAAACTTGGAAATTTGTGCCAGTCAACAATGACATGATTGGAAATTTGCCACCCGAGAGGAAAAGCTGTTTTTCAATAATGAATTCCTGCAACAAGCATGACAATTCCCATGCACTACATAGTTGGATAGCATTTCAATGTTGATTAAACAAAACAAGAATATGTTGATCTAATAAGTAACGAATTAAGCCCATGCCACACAAAAACAGAACTGCACACACATGATGCTTTTGTGAACAGAAATTTAAAAAGAACTTTTGAGACAACAATAAGTAGTTGGATGCCGCACCATCCATTCACTAAACTCAAAACTTCAAACTGAAGAAGAAGGCCACTCAAAAAAAAGAATTTATGATGGAGGGTGACATTTCAAGAAAGCAAAGGTGACCTTTGAGAAGGTGGGTTCAAATCTTTTGACGAGCCTCTCAATGCTTGATACATCACCCTGATATGAGCCAATGCAAGCCGAAAGGAAGAGCAGCCGTCAAGGAACCATACTAGCACAGCTTATATCAAGTAAATCAGTAGTATGGTGAGAAAGTAACCTCAGAAGAACTACCAACACCACCCAAACGACCAAAGTTCCAAGAACTAGTTTCCTGTGCCGACACAACGTTTTGTAGACATGTCAATTAATAGGTGAACTTACACTATTCAAGACTATCACAGTCCGATGAGAAGCTTACCGGAGGTCGGCGATCATCAGTCAAGTAACCTGCGCAAGTAACAAAAACCAACATCAAGATCTCATCCCAGGAACACTTAAATCCCTAATTCCAACAAATCAGCACTGCAGATCTCTGACTCTCGGACTTCCCAACCAAGATGATCTACAACTGCCAAGATCCAAAACCCACGACCCGAATGCAGATCAAACGAGCATCGCTCGCCGCGCCTCAGCGGAGGACAAATCGAAGCGAGAAAGAAAGGCAGCAGCCAATGCCGCCTAGCGACTCACCGGAGGGGAAGCGGTCGTGAAGACCGAGGAGGAAATCCAGGGGTACGAGCAGCGAGAAGAAGACGAGAACGAGCACCACCGCGGCGGGGGCGCGCCACCGACGCTTCGCCGGCGGAGTGGTCGAGATCGCCACGAAACTCTTCATAGCCTAACGTCCTCCAATCGTCTCCTCATCCGGTCTCAGAGTCTCGCCTCTCACTTCACTCGCTTTGGCTCCGCAAACACAAAAATAAGGAAAGCGGAGAGAGCGGCGAGCGGGGGGGGGAGAGTGTAAACCTTCTCGTGTAAATGGTACTACCCGAGTTTTCCGGTGCAGGAATCACGGTCACGGCCTACTCGTCGACACGCGTCAGCGATCGTGTGACCGAATCATTGAAACCGTGTCTGGCGAAGTCTCTTGATTAAAATAAGCCCTTTACGGGACCCACCTGTCGGACCCGTAAATAAATCTCTTTCATGTGAAAATATTAATTAGATTAATAAAACTACCAACTTTTTTGAAACAAAATTTACTATTTGCTTTTTTTTTTTTTTGCTATTGATAATAGACTGCTATTAGCTATCCTTAAAAATAATAATAAAATATAATTTTATTATTTATCATCTATAGAGATAAATAAGTTTTATATCATCTATAGATATAAATATCTCGAGAAATATTTTTAAAATATTAAAAAAAATTAAAATAAGTTTATAAAAATAATAAAAAATTATCAATAGAAATAATTAAATTACCATAACTTTTGAAATACCTCTAAAAAGACAAGTACAGTACAGTAGATTGATCCAACCAATTATTATTATTATTATTATTATCAAAAGGAATTTCAAGAATTATGACAGGACACCTCTGCGGAAGAACTCAAAATGAAAGTTGTGTTCTTCGAAGAATTCGCTCTCACTTAAATGTATCTTATCGGATAATATATTTTATGTTATTATGGACGGAGGAAAAAGAGTAGCGGAAAGCAGATGGATAATGATGGCATTGTAAATTAATTATGGTTTCTTTGGACGAAAAGAATGCTTCTTTCTTCTTCTTCTTCTTCTTCTTTTCATCATCATCATGTTGTAGAGCACTTTTGGTTTGGGGAAAGAGTAGTCTCATCCAAAGGAACCCTCCCTCATACGTTATATATGTATCTCTTGTTCATCATTTGTCATTCGGATGATGTTAGTGTTTGCTCTCTCTCTCTGTGTTGGAGTGAGTTGAGGTTTATCGGAGATGGGAGTCACGACGGCGGGTGGTGAAACTGAGGTGGGAGTCGTGCGAGGCATTGAGTGTTCATGTCGGACGGCAGGCAGAAGCAGCCGCTGGTACGATGTGAATCGTGTGGATTACCGAACGGTGCATCACTGGACAAGACGACGGTGTGGGGAAGGGGGGGGGGTAAAGATGAGATCCGACTTCAAAATTCTATTATCAATATGAATATTGATATGTGAGTGAGTCTAGCACAGTAAAATATTAATTTTTTCGTTATAATTGAAGAGAAATATTGATAAAAAAAATAATAAAAGAGGAAAATATCGATCTTCATTCGATGGTAAGAAAATTATATGATTTTTTAAATTTATATATAAAATTTTTAGATCATTTGTTCTCACTTATATATTGCTGTAGTTTTCGGATACGATGATAATGTATTTGTAAATCAAATAATTTTTTTTAATAATATTAAAAGATATACATCATAAATTTGATCTATCGTTGTTTGATTTTAATTTTTGATAATAATTTTTTATATAATAATAACATAATCATGATTTTTATACTTACGAGAAGTGTTATTTTACCTGCTCCGAAAAAAAAAAAAAGTATATATACATATGACCTAACATAAAATAAATGGGTTAAGGAGATAAATAATGGATCATCTTCACATTTACATGGCTTTCTTCGATGACAGGTTACATCCACAAACAAAATGTTCCTTAGTGGTCCTCCTCATCTTTCATTGCAATGAGCACTGACATTGTTGTTGCTCGACAGTCTGGTCCTCAACTTTCTCCCCTTCTCTTCTTTATATGTTGTATATACACATCTATATCATTGTCTAAGGAGTGACAAGTCGAATGTACAAACAAACAAATAAGACTTGGACAGATGATGGGTGCATCCGAAACCCATCATGTGACTTGATGAACAGTTGCATGCGATGGATGCCATCTCTCACTCTTGCTTTCTCTTCTGTCCTCGAGCACACGAACTATGAATGGGCTTGATCCGAGCTCTGCGAACCCTAATCTGTTAGGTTCGGCCAACCAAAAATAGATCATCGTCGAGATCAGCAACATTAATTTGGAAGATTTATGTGGTTCATGTCCGCACACACAGCATGATCCAAAAAATAATTGATTGGTTGTCAATTTATAATAAAATTGACAAGCAAAACATATAGAATGATCGAGCTGATAAAAACAACAGGTGATTGCCAATCCATCTTCTCAGTGGTAAATGAACGTTTTATTGTAATCAGTAGTGTAATTACAATGTTTGGACCAAACAGTACTGTATCATCAAAAAGTCTTTACCACATTATCCATTTCTCATAAATTTTATAAAAGAAAAGAAAAAGAGACTCCAATTCTTTCTTCTTTCTTCATAAACACTTGCATGTCCTCCTCCCGTCAGCACCATTACTACTACACATATGATCCTGTCATCTCTCCCAAGTAACATCCTTCCTAAATTTGCTCATAAAGCCTTGGACCGAAAACCAATCCTACTACTCATCTAACAGATATGTGTGCCGCAATTGTGCCCAAACGTCTTACCTTCATCAGTAAGAGAGACCTTTACAGACTGTTTAAGTCGAGCTTCAACTCAAAAACTTGTTTTAAACACCTGTACAAAGTTGACGGTTAGAAAAAATTTGATCTTGATGCTCTTTAGGTAACACGTACCAACTGATATCAAATAACTCATCCCCACATACACGTTCATCAGACAACTGAAAGCCATCGGAACATGAACCGGATTGGATACAAAACTGCTCCAGCCTGAAACACGGGTGTCAAGATCAGGATATCATCTGCTCTATAAAATCTACAGAAGCAACATCGAATGGGATAAATCACAACATGTATTCCACCACCGCTGTCATGGATGAGGGACCACCACGCTCAAGCAGTGATAAAGCCAAATCACACTCATGCCACCCCCTCAGGCCACTGGCCAACTTTCGCAGAGTCTCCTGCTTCACCTCATGCACCCATGCTGGTGCAAATTTCACCAGCAAGCCCACAAAACATGAAACATATGCTTTCCACGTTGCCGGATCACACCGAAGAATTATGTTGCCCTCCACGGCACCGGTTACAAAGTCCATGTGGATTCCTATAACCCGGGCTCGCCTTGATGAGAACACCGATGCGTATGCTGGGGATGTATTTCCGACCCCCCAAACAAGAGCCCCGCACAAGATCAGCATATAGGCCAAAGCGTAGCCTTGTAGGATGTTGGATACCGGCCCAGCACCACCTAACTTCTCCCCCCCAGCTGACAGTAGCATTGTTGGCAAGGTCTCCTCATAGAGTACCTGCACCATCTCCACACCACCTGCAATACACAAAAGGCACGTTCCCAGTGTTGCCACCTGCTGTACTCCTGATGCAGCAGCTGCAAGTGATATCCGACTTGATTTCAGGTGGGCAGGCCCATCAGAGGCCCACTCATTTGCCAGTTTGTGTGCCCACTCAATGACCAGCTTGAAAATCACCTCATTGACAAAATGGGTATCATGAAACGTTCGACAAGTCCGGAGGTAGAGAAACCCTGGTGCGATTGGTAGCCGGACACCCTGGTCGGACATAAACTGGCCTAGAAGTCCATTGACTCCACGATGTGCTGTAATGTGAGAACCTCCAACAACGGAAGGACCCAAAAATGATGTGAAGCAGCTTCTTATCAGCTGCGCAACAGCATCTTTATCCCTTGAGAAGGGAGAGCGTGAGCAAGATAGGACGATAAAGTCATGCCACCTTCGCACCTTTTGAGTCCATAATGCTCCTATGATTGGCATGCTTGGCCAGGTGCAGCCCGTTGCACAGTTCTCAAGGGCCTGACCGACAACTCCATGGATGTACTCCACGCTCTTGTCGAGCTTGAATGTTATTGTCAAGCTCACAAGAGCTGCCATTGGCAATGGGAGCATTGGTGGCATCCCACCTGCCAGAAATAGTTATGTTAGTAGAGGAAGTGGAACAAAAAAAAAAAATATATATATATATATAATTAAAAATTATGTCAAGAAGGAAGAAAAATATATGAAATTATAATAAAATATAATCTAGATTAATTTTTCAGCAACATAGACCATGTAACTGAATTGTTGGATGAACATCTTCAATAAAATTGTAGTTAGTTCACTCTTATTTTCCTTCCAGTATATATATTCAGATACCAACCCAGAAGTATGACCTACATTCTTCAGATATAACGTACTCTCTTTTCTGTGGTAGACATTTCATTACTGTTTTGAGGATGGTATATCAAGTGATATGTTAAACAACTTGTACTAAGACTATGGTTGTATGGATATATGGCATATACCACGGCACAGATAACACATTGCTGCTCCAGATAACACCAGGTAGTCTCTTATGTCATTTGTAAATAAATATCTTATGATGTTTCAACTTCTTATTCTTATGTTCAGCTTCTAAAGGCACAAAAAAAAAGGAATTAGTCAAGTAGCCCAATTCAGTCTAAACTGATGTCAGTTTTTGGATGAATGTTGCTCGACCAAAATAGAGAAAGCAAAACAAAGAATCTAATAGTAAAAGTAGAACCAGAAATGAAATTTTTTTATGACCAAGAAGATGCATAACCACAGAACATAAAACAAAACGCATACGTGGATAACAGCTCTTAATATGAACCCCAGCGGAGGCAAGGATTTCTTTTATTTCAGATTCAGTGGAGAGAAGAGTTGGAGAAGGGCTAGGCCAGTCAATTCCGTTCATTGGAACTGGTTTCCATATTCCACGAGTAATCTCAGCTGAAAAGTAGCTAATGATAGTAGCAAGAGAAGCTGGCAGAAAATCCACAAGATCTCTCAAACCTACAAAAGTTATGGTTAGTGGTACTAAAAGAAGATGAGTAGAATATAAAATGGCAATGCAGAGGCATAATGTGACTTTTTGCTTAGTTACTTTCTAATACTGCCAGTTAATAGTCCACACAATAACTAAAGAAAGATACATGCTTGTCTCCATCTTGTATACTCACTATTTTCAAAGTGAAATGTAACATCTTCATCTTGTATACTCTAATTTTAAAGTCAAATGAAATGGCTTCATCTTGTATACACTATATTTTTAAGTGAAATGAAACGACAAGTTCTTACCCACCTATGAATTTAATCATGTGCATAAGTGTCTATCTGCATAGATTCAATGATGACACTAAAGGGAGTGATGTGGTCGTGCAAACCATGCTCTAATTTGGTATAGCATCCATCCATCCATCCATCATTTGTCTAAGAAAACATTTTAATACCAAATATAATTAAATTAAGAATGAAAATGCGACGTGGTAGGGGAGTATGGATTGAGAAATAAAGAAGCTGATGGAAGCATCTATCACAAAAAAAATGAAAGCTGAGAGAAAGACAGCAATATTAGATCATTCAAAACTTTGTTCTTGTTTTACTGCATCTTTAAACCCTTTAAGGCTTATTTATACATTAACCATTCAACTATTAATAAGATTCAATAAAATAGGGACTTTATCTCATCTTCGAGTTAAAACTCATCTAACTTCCTAAAGATAAGATCTTATCATTTTTCTAGCACAATATAAATTAAAACTAATCCTAACAAATGCGGTATTTAAAATTAATAATACTCCCCAGAACAAAAGGCCTACGTTGAAATTTGACTCCCTCTGGATCGATGCACCAAATGATAATACAAACTAAATGACAACAAAGCTGCCAAACAAGGGAAATTGTAGTAAAGCTCAGACTTTGGTAAAACAATCCAATATCCTTCGCTTTTGTCCCCTCTCAGTCAAACAAGATATCCTTTCCAAGCAAACAACTACTAGACCATGGAATTGGCTAGACTATGAGTATAACTTTCCACCAGTTTATTGGTCATTAGATCACCACAAATGCCATTTGGAGTAGCAGATGTGTCTTGTCAATGCCGAAGTAGCAAAAGCTACCAATAGACAGATTGTTTAAGGCCAACCAACTAGTAGCAACTACCCAGTCTTGCCACATTACACCTCTTACCAAGATTTGACGTCATCCTCTCCAACCATATCCTAGAAATCCACCAGTTATAAAGAAAGTTAACTTTGCAAGAGGAACCATATCCCAAGTGGACAAAAATATAATCTTTTGGAAAAGAATATTACTATATGTAGATATTCAATCTGCCCACATTTGATTTCTTAGAGATGTCACCGCTAGCTGTTCGAGATCAAGGGGGTCTGTCCAAGACGTGTTTCCAAACAGGTATAGCTAATTTGACCTCAAATCAGGGTTCGTCATTTCAGGCACCAAACCCGTCTCGAAGATTTGTCGGTACGATACATACCAGTATGTACTGATATACCAACACATGGTATGTCAGGGCGTGCCGACTTGGACTCGGGCGAGCCACGTCTCAGTAGCGAGTCGAACCAGTACATACTGCTCATACCATATCGACTCGGGCGGTACACCAAACCTTACCTCAAATAGTGAAGAAAAGTGCTGTTTGCTCTTACAAATTATCAACTTTAACAATGAAGTAATGTAATTCCTTTGACATGAGCACTAGAAATAGAGAAACTAAAGCCGTTTAGTGTGTGATAAATAGAATAGAGAATAAAGGATTCAAGTCGGAAGAAAAAAAGAACCAATGGAAGATGGAAAAAGAAAATAAGGGTTGATGACCATTTTTTTTCACATGACTTTTTCAATAACTCAAAACATTAACGTCTAAGGAGTGCATGCTCCTCTTATGGAATAGACCCCAACTTAAAACCTTACATGACTAGCACTACAGAAAAAATATCCACCAAAAGAAAATCAACAATCATATTAAATGTATCTGAATTAAGTCAAACAGAATAACAAAACAGCTGAACTAAATCTATTTACTGCTATCAACCAACTAAATTAGACTCAACAACTAGCCTAGTAATTGACTTGAAATGGAACATGGACTAACATCAATAACATGACTAAATCTTCATGTTATTTGTGCTTGGAGTGAATTTGCGCTTTAAAATAAAGCCCTTCAAGCATCCTCTAGACTGTTCCATGCATAATCTGGACTACACCAAGTGTCTTCTATTATATGTGGGCTCGACCTCAGCATGATAACCCCTATGTATTGAGACCCTGTGGTTCTGTTTTCTTCACAGAGGACGGTAGAATTCCTGAGTGATGCTTAAAGCAGTTAAGGAGTCTTGAACTTATGTTTAACCCTTTTATCATATAACAGGCCCAACTTTGGCCAGCTTTTGGCACCAGGTTGGCTAACTAGGCAACCAAGATATCCCAAGGTGATTTGTTTAATCTAGACTTTTACACAAAAACACTAAGTGTATTGGATAATGAACTTTGGAAGAACCTTCATTATCATGGAACTGTTGCTGGGAAAATCAAAATGATTTGATGAAGTTGAACATGTGTTTGCCCCTCCTACCATAGTGGTAACTTTATAAGACTTCTATGAATATCATTCAAACCTATATCGAGACAAATTAGATAGTTCTTAAATTTCAAATTTGATTTTGTTTCATTTTGGATAGTTTAGTTGGCTTGGCCCATCAAAACATTTTTAGTTTTTTCAGTTTTACCCTATTTTGATCATAAATCATCACTAATCATGTCCACTTATAGAAAGAGGTTTTATAATGACTCCCACCTCAGTTTCACTAAGGCAGCATCGCCGATGGTAGAAGCGGCGATGGGGTGGTCCGCTGGCTGGGAAACGGCGCCGGCGGCCCTTCTCGCTCGAGCGAGAAGGGGAAGCGAGGAGGAGAGGTCGCTGGCCAGGCGGGGGCAGCGACGGCGGTGGTGGCCGCTGGTAGCAAATGGTAAGACCCTAAAGTCTTATCGTCAGATGCTCTGATACCAAATGATAAGACCCTAAAGTCTTATCGTAAAATGCTCTGATGCCAAATGATAAGACCCTAAAGTCTTATCGTAAAAGAAATGAAAGAAATTGAAGAAAAGGGAATGATCGCTTCGAGGGGATCGGCCTCCTAGGGTTTGTCATAACAAACTGGAATAATATTTCATTGATTGATTAGAAAGGATTACATCACTATTTATAGAGTTCCACCTAAAGTCCACCAGGACTTGGACTCTTAATAATAATTAAATATTAAATAAACCTCTATCCGACTCTAATTGAATTAAATAGACTTAATAAATATTATTCAAAAGCTCATAAAATAAAAGGGTCCTAACATCGACATGAGCTCTGAGCTAAAGGACTGGAGTGCAGACAAGTCCTCACCATGCCACATATTTATGACAATACCAGCAGACAGGAACAGCACAAAATAGTACATACCATGTTGCTGCCTACATCCTAAATAAAGAGAACAGCATTTTGAGACAAACATAGACACTTTAATGCAAGATAAAAACATTCTAATTTGTGCTCAATTGATGAAATGTTATTATGAAAATATCTCTTCATCATCCTTCTGTAATAATAATTTATTGGTTGTAAAACCCAAATTATAGGACACCTTATTTGTCATTACATGGTAGACAGGAGTTTTTACCACTTAACCTAAGATTTCTACAACTAAATATACTGGAAAGTGGTAGATCAAAAAGAAAAAAAGGCTAGGTGTATTAGAACACGAATAAACATAGGAAATACAAACAAGAAGCAAGAAGAACAATCAACAAATACGTGCATCAAACCTGTCGTCAATTCTCGGGATGAAAGCCTCCCATGAGCACATGCAGTCAAAATAGCTTCAAGAACAAAGGGAACTGCTTCTAGAATCTCCCATGCAGGAAGCATTGGCCTTTGGAAAGAATCGTCACTCGTACTTACAGGTGATCCACTTATGCTGCTACTAGAATTTGATGAGGGATTACCAGAAACAGGTCCAGTTATCGACATTTTTCGACAGATCATACTCAAAATCTTATTGGCAACTTGATGCACAGGATTTTTACTACACAGACCAGAAAGAGTGGAGGCTATACATGCTTGATTCTGGAAATACCAAGCCCGAAGTTTTGGAAATGAGTCAATGTAAACTGGTTGACTTGGTGATGAATAAAATGGGTCCATGTTATTAACAGTTCTGTCGACAGGAGAAGAGTTTTGCAAAGTAATACGACTGTTGCGCATCAATAAAAGATAGTCTAGCGTTAGTTCCATCCTCATGGAGCCTCCACGGCCTGCTATACAGTGTTCCTGAGGGGGCTTATAGAACTTCCACAATCGAATGAGAAACAGGAATGCACACGAGAAGACTGTGTAAACAGAGGGTTCCTCAGATGTGCTTGATCTATGACTGGAAAGAGGTGTCAGTGAACCAAAAGCCTCACAAAGTGGCATTAAAGCTGCCGCAACTTCTGGAACCTGAAGATACCATTATCTTGAATCAGTGATGAGAAGAAATTTAAGAGAGGTATATTTAGGTACAGGCAAATGTAGATTTGCAAATCCTTTTGTTGGTTAGAAAATGAATGTGATGTAAATAATCAAACATATTATGCATTAATACAGGAATAAACAAGAGTACCATGCATATATCACTTGACAGTTCCCATCTTGCATAGGTTTCTAGAATAAAAACGTTTCGACAATTGTAACATTGAGCAAAACCTGGGAAATTGGAAATACTATCATTACATCACAATTACAGAGTATTGGGTACTACATGTTATGATGTTAATACTAAATTCTAAAACTAACACTAACTGGAGTTATCAATAGTCCCTCTATAGTTCCTCTCCAACATCTCTGTTCTTTTTAACTAGCTTTTCTCTCTTCCTCTCTAATCTCTCTTTCTCCTCCCTCTATACCCCTTCCATTCATTTTCAGATATGCCCTTCTTCCCTTAAAAGAAAATTGTGCTTGATAAAAGGTGAAAATCCTATCACTTTATGGAGGAACAGAAGGAACAATAGAGGATTTGATTAAACCATCAACTATATACAAACCAAAATCAGCAATCATAGACATATCTTCGTATACATTATTAATGATATTCAGAACAAAAATGAATTACAAATCAGCAAATTTGCGACTGTGGAGAAATGTATTTCACCCAAAAAAGTTTTGCTTACCATCCCATATAAAGAAAGAATATGAACAATGTCCACACAAGAAACTCCAAATAAAATAGCACTGAGCACAGACATGTGGCCAATTAAATAATTCCCAACTCCAGATGCTGAAGAATCAGGAGGTATAGGCGGAGATAGCAATTTCACCACAATGTGCACAACATGTTCCTGGACCAGTAAAGAGAAAATTAAGAGTGAAGACAAATACAAAGTTCCTGAAGTGGAAATTAATCTGTAAAAGGATAACCCACTTGACACATTGGGATCATATAGATAACTGATATTGAATATCAAAGGACATTGACAGCTATAAGGCATCTAAAATATACAAATTTCATTCAATATTAACTATACCCTTAACTTAAAAAAAAGGTGAAAAGAAAATTACATAGTTTTTTTCCTATACAGTTATTGGGTTGAATCAGGACATTTAATTAATAGAGAAGAATACAAGTTATTTACCTGGACATTCCAGCCACGGACAAGGGACGCACCACAGAGAATCTTTGCAGCTGCTAATTTTTCTTCTTCTGATCCATTGACTGCAATGTGGTACATCTTCTCCAATTCTACTAAACTAAAGAGCAGCAGAGTAAGATCATGAATATAATGAATATAAATGCAACTGTTTATGTATACATAAACAGTGTCATGGTACTATCACTCAATCAGGCTAAAGAGCTGAAACAAAACCAATGCCATAAAATAGAATGAACGCTAGTTTGGAGTACGAATATTAAATATACATCATGTTTAAAAAATATGCTCTCTGTGAAAATCAATATTTAAAATACTGACTGGACCTGCACAAATTGACCAGTATGGCCAATCAGTATTTACCAGTCCAACCAAGCATCCACAATGGATCAAATGGCACCACTCAGCATTCTTTGTCTTTTTTTAATATTTTATAACTCAGGAGCGACACAACAAAAAGGATGTCCCTTGTCAAAGGTGTTACCTAGTTATCAAATTTTCTGTACTTATTCCCTTGTTTTCTTTTCACTAATATATAGTTATTACAAGATGCATTGGGCATTACACTACATACAGGTGCAACTCGGGATTCAAAACCCGCCCTACAGGAAGACGTCCTGGATGCACAACCATCCAGCTAGCAGGACGATGGCCTTACTTTTTCTATATTGAAAGTTGGTAAGTGACAAAAATCAGAACAACTTCGACAGGATTAATTTGTCATTTGTCTTCAACTGTTGTGCTCAGGTGGTTGACATCATGAACAAGCTTGCTGCATTTGGAGAAAATTGTTCTTGAAGCAGATGCATGGTTTTACAAGTTATTTGTGTACTATATATTTTCCTCGAATAGAGAAGGTAACACCATCAGAAGAGGTTACGTTTCTTTCTTCCAGTTAAGGTAACAATTACTAAGTTCATTCAATATTTTTGACCTAAAGGCCTTCCCAATTTCTGTTGTTTGTTTTCAATTTGATGCAGAAACCAATGCTAACAAGGGCCAAATATGATGCAAGGACATTTCATACACAGTCATATCAATTCATATCTATACTCTATAGAGAAACATGGAGTACTGTTACAGCTAGGACATGCCTGTAACCAAGAAATGCAGCCAGTAAACTTTATCAGTTAACAAGTTATTCTAAAAGGATTTAGATTACCTAGATGCAGGAGTCACCATAAGGGAGTTTTTCAAAGAACCATTTAGTGGAGCCCCCTCAAGGAAGGTTGACCAAGGAGAATCTTGAACTGAAGTTGAATCCCTTGACAAAGCAGATGGACCCACATAACCAGGCCAAAAGTAAGCAGATGTATCAATCAAATTTCTTGCAATACAGGCTTCAACTATTAGATGCAGCATATTCCCAACTACATGTGCAGAGAAAAAAAATACATTAGAAAGAAGAAACTCACAGCTTCAGGTCGGCTGTTGGGTGACTTGACGTCAAGGGGAAGAAAGAATAAAGCAATACGTAAAAGAACAACAATAATACCGGTAACAATCTGATAAACCAAGTGCTTGATTTGACAAAATCTGGTCTAATTTGAGCTTAGGTTAGTTGTGTGATAAGCAAGTCGATTAATTTAACTGAATCTAAATTGATGATCTCAACTTTATTTTGGATTTGGGTGAGCCTTATTAAAACCTACAAGTGCTGTAAGCCATAATTTGAGTCCACTTTTACCCGGTGTTATTGAGACTAATTTATGTTGGATCATGAAAAAAGTTTCGCAACATTTTTATTTAAAGCATGGTTTGCCTTATCGATCCATACCGATGTACCAACCGGTCGGCAGCATGGTATGTATCGACATACCAACACATTGTACAATTGGATGTACCAACAAACTATTATGTACCACCCATATTAATCCCCTATCAGACTAATATATACCACCTATATCGGACGGTACACCGCAGTATGGCTAATCTTGATTTAAAATTGACCTACACCTAACCTAGTACTAATTCCTAAAGCTCTATTTGCTCGGTTTATGAAGTTAAGCCAAACCCAAAACTAATTCAAAATTATTGGTTTGAATTAATCGACTAGGTCTTCCACAAACCTAAATCGCAAGTAATTTTCAATTTAATGTCTCATTTTTTTTTCTAATGATATCCAGTCAGACTTAAGTCATTAGATTCCTTAGGACTTGTTGACCGAAACTGTTGAGTTTATTTGATCCTTCCATGAAATAAGTAACTGATTAGTTTAGTTCTCTCTCATTAGCTTATAGATTTTAATGAAAGTACCATGACTCCTATAATGGTAAATTAAAAGCCATAAGATAGAGAGAGAGAGTCTGTAATCAAAACTGAGTATTACATTTATCACTGAGATTAAGATAATCTGAAAATTATCAAGACAAACAAACCTGCTTTTATAGAAGAATCATTATGCCCAACAACATTTAGATTGTTATTCCCAGCCTTGTAATTTGAAACAAAGACTGCTGCTTTTGTAGCAGCATTGTTTGCTGCATTGACAACTGATGGAGGAGGTAAGAGAAGTGCTGAAAATTGTCCTAGCATCTTAAGGGAAGATATCAATCCATGCCTTCTAGAAGAAAACTTATTCCCTTCATTTTCATGTGAATTGCTTCTCAAAAAGCCATTGTTGACAGGATAACGTATATCAAGCTCTTCCTTCACGACGGCAACGATTGCCAAAGGGACAATTGAAAGTAGCATGCACAATCTTGCATCAAGATGAGGTATTGGTCCTTCCAGAGGCTCACGATCCTAGTTGTGCACAAGTAGAATAACCAATATTAGAATCATGAGTATAATACATAAATTTTTGTAACAGATAAAAGTTGTAGGCACAGGCACAGAATTTTCACAACTCGCTGTACAAGTCGGAGAGCTGAAACCCAAAGAGCTTGAAAAGTCTCCTGCCAGCTTGCCTGGTTAATTACTTTAAGTGTCTTGGTCAATTCTGTTTAAAGAACAGATGATAAGTGAAAGTCCTTGTGACAGAACAGATATGCATATTAGGAAAAGGACACTCGATTAAACCAATAAAAAGAGCAAACCAACACAACGGTTCAAGAAAGAAAACTGGCACCTGTAAGAACCTCAACAGCAGATATGGCATACAGATGCTTCCCATCCATTGCGTTCTCCATCAGAATATCAATAGGAATCCAACAAGCATCCCTTCCAGCCCCAGAACTGTTACATGAATTCAAGCTAGATGGCCCAGCATCAGCTAGAGCTCCAAGAAGCTGATGCTTATTCAAAAGGAGTTCTGTACTCGTTGCCTTCTTTATATTCGTGAACAATTTATTCAAAATAGGACTGAGTGATAAGAAACTCTCTGATGTCAATATATTGGATTCAACAGTTTGCAGTCTCTGAAGAAGACCATTGAACTTCTCAGGCCTGTGCTTAGAATAAAATCTTTATCAGCAATCAGGATATTACCACGACATAGTTTGGAAATAATCTCATTGAAAACAAGATGCTAGTTTAAAATCAGGTCTCCAATTTAGAAGCTTTTATGACAATAGGCTTTCAGAGACTGTCAGAGTTCTCTTTCAGTAGATATCTATAAGTAACATGCATCACCACTCTGCTAGTTGTCTATAGGCTTTCTTCACAAAAAGAGAAGCTCCAATACGAATCAAGAAGATTGATTAATGCCTCAGTACAGGACAAGGATCTTAACAAGGTGTTCAGGGAATGGAACTAGCTAGCAGGAAAAGGAGATAAATAGGACTCATGTCAATAGATGGTAACTCAGGTAGAAATCCAATAGTCACTGCATATACATCATCATTCAATAAATATCTGTCATAGTCTGGTTCTGTCTTCTCAAGGGGAATTACAATAACAAAGCAGACAAGGAAGCGGATAAAGGTTGACGAAACCAATATGAGCAATCACAAGAAATCATGCCAAGCAAGCAAGTGAATTCATGTACTAGCTGTTGGTGTTTTATGCAACCACTGGAGGGGAATTCACTCTTAGTAAGACCAGCATTAGGGAATCTATTAAGAGAAAAGGCACACTTCAAAGCCAAAATTACAGCTAATAAAGGTTCCCTTCTGAGGATAGATGAACTGCTCGAATTGACTATAGTTTGCCATTATATTTTCCATATCTATTTTACAGCCTATAACCAGGTATCCTATGACTTCCAATTAAAAAAGTCAATTCAAGGAGGAATCACCATAATTGCTCCAACGAATAAAAATAAGTGACCTAGCCCTTTTAATCGATGGTTTCATGCTACATAGAAATCTACTAACAAAAAAACTTGATATGCATTTAAGCTACAAATGATATGTATTTCAGGCCACTATATCCTTCTATCTATCCAATATCAACATCACAAACGATATGCATTTAAGCTACAAATTTTTTGTAACATAATAAAGATGAAAAAGAAGGTTCACACAACAAACTTAAAAGCTTTTTATCAAAAAAAAAATCTCATGGAATACCAAAATTATCAATGGACATTATAAGATTCACCCATGGTGGCAATTGATCTTGTGTGGCCCGTTAGAGATCCTATTCCAAAATAAATGAGACAAGCCCTTTGATTTTACTATTTGTATGTTCTTTAAGAATAATCCTACATGAAACAATATAAAAAGAGGATTGAAACATAAAAGTCATGATGATACATACATATTGATATGGATGAGATGAAGAAAAGCTTTTGTCTTTTTATTTGAAGAAATTTTTTCAGCCACCTCAATAGCCAATAAAGCATTTGTTCTACGTAGATGTTCACGATGCTCATTTCTCTTGTCATATGAATTCCCTTTAACATCTAACTCCATTACTTGTTTTCCACCATTAGCACATACACTGCCATGTTTGTCTGTGGATACCAATCGCAAGCCATAATCTTCAATTGTACAATCAATCAAGATTGTGATAACAGTCATAATAAACAAAACAACTGCATGACCAAAATCCATTTTTTTAACCCCATATGTATCTGAAAGTTGTAGGGCATCATCAACTGATTTTGCAATCCTGCAAGATGGATAATATTGCAAAGGGTCAATAGAAGGCTACAAATTTCACTTTGCACTCGAGAGTTAGACTTTAAACATGCCCAAAAGGCACATTTATCCAATTCAAAAGAAAATTTTAGGGACTCACATAAATTCCAGACAAGACAAGGAAACAACTGAAGAATAAAGATCTTATATTTTATTTGAGGACAGATAGATTGCAAATATAGAGGCCATTTGAAATTATGGAAACAGCTCCTCTACTTATAAGGGTGAGACTATATCTATTAACCGTCCCCAAACCCCACATTAGCATGTACCAAGCCCCCGTTTACGATCCAGGATGAATACAAGAAATCACAAGCATAGCAACATAAAGAGGAAATAAGCAAGTAGTGCAAACGAGAAGCACAGAAGTGCTATTACAGCAACAAAACATCCTTTTTTTTTATTCTCTATTATCTGTCTCATCTATCTGTCTCTTCTTCAGATCTGTGTGGCAGGATTGAGAGAATTGTGTGTATGACTCTTGGTCCAGAAAAATACTAGGCATGTGTTGTTAGGCATAGCGACAAACATTTCTTACCCCGCTTGACTTTCTTTCATATATAAGACCAAGCCAGGGTTAAATACCCAAGGGAAGCTACTTATGACTCTTTCAAGAGCGCTAAGTGGAAAATATTCCCCCAGAGCTGATTGGGAGCATGCGCTGATGCAATCAACCCTCAGGCAACTAGCTTACATAGTCGACTTTCTAGAACAAAGTACAAAATCTATGATAACTCAGAAAATCCAGTTCAAAATAACAGAAAAATTCTAATCATGTTCCAGAGTTAGAAACTTGCAATAAGAATCAGATATTATGATAAAGAGTCCTGATAGACGTCTGCTGCAACTTGGTTCCTCTTTTTTAATATTGTGACTGATATGCTAAAGGCTTCTGATCTTTTCTGTGAACTCAGCAGAAAAAATTAAGAAAATATTCATCTATCTGTCTACACACACGCACAAGTTTTGAATCAGGCATTGTAGAACTTGAAGGTATGAAAAGATATATCTTTCATGTTTGCATCTTGCAAATTAACTTCAAATGCCACTAATAGAAACTTATCCTCCTCTTAAGAGAAAATCACAGAGAACTTCCAACTGTGCTAGCAAGGCCTTAACCAAAAAGCAGCACATCATGTTCCAATATGTAGAACTTTGACATGAATGTAAATTCATGCAATAACAGATGCTGAGTGATACTGCATCTCCAGATAACATATGCAGTGATCAAGCAGTTACCCATTCCTGTTTGTCCATGCCTGGGACATATATTTAGAAATCAACAAACACACAAACTTACCAAGCAGGAAAAGTCCTCTCTTTTGACTAGCTTATCCAAGTGCTTGAGAACCTAGACATAGTGCTAGAGAGCCTGCACATAGGGTTCAGCACATGGACCAAAAATAACCCAAATTGGAAAATTGAAAAAGCCCAGTATTCTTTCTTTTTCACTTATCAGCCTCTTTACTTTGCACAAATTTGGAAGAATAGAATGCTAAAGCACCAAAGAGCCTATCCATCTGTGTCATTCCTTTTAGAATACAAAAATGTAATAACACTATTATCACAATGTCATTCCTCTTAGAATATAAAAATGTTATAACACTATTATCACAACAACAACAAGTAGCACATCTTATCTACAATATTACTCAGTACTGCATACAATGATGAAATAGAGATCTAAGTTAAGTTTAAATGATATCAAGGTCAACATGATTGAACATTTATATAATTTTGCAAATTTAAAGGACCTATCCCTACACTTTAACATTTGCAATTTCTTTGTTCTTAGAAACTCATGCAAGGATGAGGCCAAGCAGAGTTCATCATCTTAAGAAATGCCTGATCACAAGCAATGGTTCAGGTGTCTTGGCCAGTAGACAGGTAATACGGTCTGCACTTTTTACTAGGAGATATCTGAATTAAAGAGTGATGAATTTTTTGTGAATTAATCCATAATATTAAATTAAAGAAAAGGAGTTAGTATTACCCAGATGTCATCCCTGATGATAAAATGTAATAGAAAACAAATAAGGAGCCCATAACTTCATACAGTCTGTTATTGCGAAATATTTGATGTGATAAGTTCTCTGCTTCCAAACTTTTATTGAATACAGTTATTTGCACTGATTACATTGGTTAAGCCACAGTGAATATTTAGGACCAAGTATGATGGAAGAAGACATATCCACCTTATCTGAGCAGCTTAAGACAAATTCACTCCACTGTCTTTTATTTTGTCTGAGCTTATACTTATCGGGGAAGAAAACCTCAAACTAACATGTCATTTAATTTAATATCTACACCTGTGGGATGCCACATCAGCAAAACTTCCTACTTCAAAACGGCATTTTAGGTGAACGAAAGCCAAAGGAGAACTTTGTTCTCATAATTGCAAATTGTCATCTTCTTTCACAGCATGGCACCTAGTGTCTTGTCCATACTGGAGAGCTCGATGTCCAATATACCAAAGAAGCTCTTCTCTACCAGACCTCTTGCTGCTCAGCCCTCAAAACGGCATTTTAGGTGAACGAAAGCCAAAGGAGAACTTTGTTCTCATAATTGTAAATTGTCATCTTCTTTCACAGCATGGCACCTAGTGTCTCGTCCATACTGGAGAGCTCAATGTCCAATATACCAAAAAAGCTCTTCTCTGCCAGACCTCTTGCTGCTCAGCCCCTCAATGGCAACGGCCTTCAGTGAAGGAGATGAAACTGAAACCCAAAAGGGACCACATACCATAACAGGATTATGCTTGTCCACATTATAGGAATATGTCCTACCAGATTGCAAATGGGCCTACTGAAAGATTTTCAGTTGGTTGTGCGAATCCTCTCCCTCAGAATGCTAATCGGATGGCTACTGGTAGTTATGAATAATGTGTATGTCTGAACGAATTCTGACACACAGATTTTCTCTTTATGCCACTAAACCATCCATTATTATCAGCTAACTAAACTTCCTCTCGAACTATCTTCTATTCTCTAATAAATCAAAAGCATTCTCTACCACAATCACCAAACTTTTGCCAAGTAAAACTTTGCATCTTCAGACAAATCCATCTGAGAAATGGAACAGGGAAGAATTCTTCGGCAGCTGCTAATAATAGAAAGAGCCTATCAAGAACTTGCCCCTTTAAGTTTTGTCTATCACATATAAATCTAACGTGAAAAAGTTCTTGTTAGCTAACAAGTTTGTTTTCCGTGACCTCGCAGATAGCTTACCAAACCTTCGATGGCTCATGATGCCATTTCTCCAACATCGACATGACGAGTTCCAACTTCACAGAATCAATGAGATTGGTTCTTTTAAGATATGAAATGTAGACAAAGAATTCTGAACCACAAAAACCTAGCCTTCAAGAAGCTGGGAACTTACTTGTCTCTGCAAGATCCAGCCTCAACCGAGAGCGATGAGAGGGCGTACCGGCTCAAAAGGACCAGGTAGAGCCGGTAGGCCTCCGGCTGCGTCCGTCGATGAGGGGTCACCCTGAACTCATCGAGAAACGAGAGACATGAGAGAAATATCATCAAGATTCAACAAATGTGAGGGAAATGATGCACGAAAGAAAGGTAAAGAATTCAAGGACAAAGAACGATCAAGGAGATCGTCAGGGTCGCATCCCTGCCTGGGGGTGAGGAGGGCGAGGGCGTGGATGGGAGAGACGACGCAGGAAGCCATGGTCTGGTCGAGCAGCTTCCACAGGGACGGGTTGTTGTTTGCGAAACAGAGATTGGAGACGAGGACGCGACCCAGCTCGGGGTTGGGAAGCCCTAGGCCCCGCTCCTGGACGCACCGCGCCGCCTCGACCGCCCGCAGCAGCGGCGGGTCGCCCCGTTCCTCCGCCGCCTTCACCGCCACCATGACCCTCCGCTCCAGGTCCGCTTCGAGTCCGCCGCCCTCCGACGCCTCCATCGACGCCGCCGCGTTTCCCTCCCTCCACCTCCTCCGCCTCCCCCTGCGCCGATCCTCAGTATAGCCGTACGAAACGGAGCTCACAGTGAAGAGGTGGGGTGGGGGGGAAAGGAAGCAACGCACAGGATTTAACGGCGAGCCCTCGCGAACCCCACGATCCGAAACGTTGGTTCGGCACACGGAATTGCCGTAGCGACATTAGGCTACGCCATTTTGTCACCCACTAATAGTTCCCGTCACCCAATTAGGTGGCCCCCAAGCATCTTACTGTGAAGGTGGGGTTGTGGGGCAGGAAGGTTCATGGAGATGGACATTGACCAGTTATTCGTTTCGACTTTGACTTATTGTGTCAAGCTCTTTGCTTAGATAGCAGAAGAAAGGAAAGCTCGATCCAGGGTCAACAAAGTGACTCATGTCAACGTCAACGTTTAAATGATCTTATTAAAGCTTAAGTTAAATCAATTTATTTCCAACTTAAGTCTTTTTATATTAAAGAGTAAAATTACATATATATATATATATATGATTTTTTTAGAAAAACCTCATTTTTTATTTTCTTTCATTTGATATTTCTTCTAATACCCCAAATATGTCTTATTATTGTCTATCGCTTGTACCCATCATGATTGTATTCATTCTACCGTAAATTTTTATTTATTTTTTTCTCGTCACCTATGTGAGGTTTGTCATAGTTGAGGTTTCATCAGTTTCGTGGTAATCATATTCTTTTTTTTTTTTCAATGATAAAATCATGAATGATTATAAAATCAAAATGATATATATCAATGAGAGATATAACGGAGATAATTAGTTAAAAGCAATATAACGATGAATTTAACGAGCAGTATTTAGGATATTAGAGAAAAATAATTATACTAAATAAAAAAAAAATAAAAATGAAGGGCACGAGAAAAATCGTCCATCGATCTATTTATATTTTATCAAAGATAATATCAATCTCTCATAAGTAATAATCTTTAGGATTCGCGATTTCTTGATTGTATACTTATCTTAACAACTAAGAAAGTATTTGTGAATCCTAATCCTATTATAAAAAATCTATCATGCGTTTCATCATCACTAAGATTCTAAATATTTTTGAATCGTAAAGCAATATTCCGAACCCACCAGCAAACTGGATCGGATACCCCATAGCATAAAAGCTCAAATGCTCCTATAAAATCTTATATTATTTGCAGGATAATGGAAAAAGTATTTGTGATTGAAGCTTTGATCACTCACCTTTGATAAAGAAGTTGGCATCAACTTTGCTCTCTAAACTTGAGGGATCATTGTTCTCACTGCAAAATTATGGACCGTCAAATCCATTGATTTTTTAGGAAAATAAAATATCAACAAGGTTGTATTTTTATTTAATCGAACTCCGAAATGAATTTTTGTTGAGATTGATAATTTCTTTTTATAAAATAAAATCAATTCAACTTACCATGTAAGTAAATAACCTAAGAGTGAAATTAGCTCCCGATGACTTTGGCACCAACTATTCCAACACTTTTGGGTTTTCTATCGTTTTATGAACTAGAAGACTCAATCACAATATTTGTTGGTGCTCTTTAGATTAATTACATATTATATTACGCTACTTTTAGCATTCTTATCCTTATATTTTAAAATTTTATATTGACATTTTTATAGTTATGAAAGTGAAACATATAAAGTCTATTTATCCTAATGATATCAGTTTTACTAACGAAAATATGAAAATAAATGGCAATGATAATTTTAACGATCGATAGCAAACGGTGCCGGTAGTGGTGGACGATAGCGTCGCTAGTGTCGATGCCAACATTATTGCATGGCTACCTCCGATGACGATAAGATCTGCTATCATCAAAATGTCATTTGCTTCTACGAGGTGCACGTCATCGACCTCATCGTTGCTCACCCTATATTGCTCTATATCTACCTTAAAGTCTGCTTTCATCACAACATCATTCGCCTCCATGCCATCGATCTTATCATTGTTCGCCCTAGATCGCTTTATATTTATGTTGACATTTACGTAGTTACCGGGCAATAATTGTGTTGGTGTCGACATAGATGGTGATGGCCACCTCGTCGCTGACCCGTTAGGTAGATCCTAGCCTCGACCCAAAGCTGGGGTCATCGAAGCTCCTACCGCTCCCACCATTGTCGCTCGTATCTACGTCAATGCTGATGTAGATGTTGCTCGACAATGAGGGGCGGATTCTATCCTTGACCCGAAGCTGGGGTCACAAAAACTCCTATCGCTCTCTTGATGTTGAACAGTATTTGCATCAGCGTAAACATAAATATGGGCGATAGGAGCTTTGGATACCTAGCTTCATGTCGAGGCTGGGATGCAACCCCCACTGCCGAGCGACATTTGCATCAGTGTCGATGTAGATATGGGTCACAGTGGGAGGAACAGTAGGAGTTTCGATGACCCCAGCTTCGATCGAGATTGGGATCCGCCCAACAGGTCAGCAACGAGATGACTACCACCATATGAGTCGACGTTGATGTAATTGTTGTTTGGCAACTGCATCATCATCGATGCAGATGGTTATGAGTGCCTCGCCACTAATCTATTGGGCAGATCCCATTCTCCACTAGAAGCTGGGGTCGTTAGAGCTCTTATTGCTCCCCCCGCTCCCCTCGTTGCCGCCTGCATCTACGTCGACGTTAATACAAATGTCACTCGGCAATGGGGGACGGATCCTAGCCTAGACTTGAAGTTGGGTCACGGAAGTTCTATCGCTCCACTTGATGTTGAGCAACATCTGCAATAGTGTCAATGCAGATATGGACGACACGAGCTCTGGTAACCCCAACTTTGTATCAAGGTTAGGATCTGCCCCCCGTTACCGAGCGACATTTGTATAAGTGGATGGAGCGGCAAGATTGGGATCCACCCAACAGGTCAGCAATGAGGCGACCACCACAATATACGTCGACACCGATATAATTGCCGCTCAGCAACTACATCTGCGTCGATGCAGATATAGAGCAGCGTGGGGTGAGCAACAATGAGGCCAACGACATGCTCCTCACGGAGGCAGGTGGCATCGCAATGAGAGTGGACCTTATCATCATCACCAGGCAATTGCGTCAATGATGCCAGCGATATCATTGTCCACAACCACCAATATCGTCCGTCATCGAATATTAAATTTATATTTTTACCTTTTATTTTATATATATATATTTTTATCTATAAAACTAATATCATTAGCATAAATAAATTTAGATATTTTACTTTCATAATTATAAGAATATTAATATAAATTTTAAAATATAAAAATTTAAATACTAAATGTAACTAACTAACTATATAGCATAATATGAAATTGGGCTACGCTCTTCTCTGGTACTAGACAAACCAATGCACAACATTCGAAAAGCTGGCAGAGTACACATCGATCGATGCCCACAACTTTGTCGCAACCTATTCCTTCGTCATGCGGTTGTCTGTGCGCTTGTTCTGCAAATGTGTCAGCCAAAACACTCGTTATAAGAACCTCAATAATGAAAGAATTTATATGGGTTCAGATGGATGAAGCACATCGACTTGATGTTCGATTGCAATTCAAGTCGAATCAATTAAGAATCAGTATCAAATTTAGCTAATGATTCAATGATTTTTGTTCTTCGAATTTGGAATCGGTGACTTCAGTTCATAAATTATTTTTAAAAAAAAATACTAATTGGATGAATATTTTAAAAAATAAAAATTAAGTAAATTAAAATCAAAATCATCGATTTTCGAACCACGATCATCCCGAGAATGATAAGGTCGACCCATAGAAATCACTTCATAAGGGTCGAGATGAATCAAGATGGATGAAGCAGATCGATATGATGTTCGAATCAATTAAGAATCAATATCGAATTTAGTTAACGATTTGATGATTTTTGTTCTTGGAATTTGGAATCGACGATGACTTCAATTCGATTCCGGATCGATCATAATTTTTTTAAAAAAAAATAACGATCAAATATCCTTCAAAATTTATAAATATATCCATTCAAATACTAATTGGATGAATATTTTTTTAAAAATAAAAATTAAGTAAATTGAAATCAAAATCATCGATTTTCGAACCACGACCATCCCGAAAATGATAAGGGCGACCCGTAGAAATCACTTCATAAGAGTTGAGATGAATTAAGATGGATGAAGCAGATCGATATGATGTTCGATTTCAATTGAAATCGAATCAATTAAGAATCAATATCGAATTTAGTTAACGATTCGATGATTTTTGTTCTTGGAATTTGGAATCGACGGCGACTTCAGTTCGATTCCGGATCGATCATAATATTTTTTTTAAAAAATAACGATCAAATATCCTTCAAAATTTATAAATATATCCATTCAAATACTAATTGAATGGATATTTAAAAAAAATTAAAAATAAATAAATCGAAATCGAAATCTAAAGGGAAGGCCGAGTATGACTGGCTAGCCCACAGTTAACGTCTATCTAATCAAGTACTATTAGAGATAAGGCCACCCTTCTTTCCACTTACACTCCTCTCCTCCTCGAGCTAGGCAATGGTGGCTCCTGCGACTCTCACCCTCGGCCCATCCGCTGGCTTTTCGCCAAACCAAACTAAAGTGCCCTCCTTCAACCGTAGGCCTTCGTTTCCCCTCCCTCCCAACTCCTCCCACCTCAAAGCCAGAAGCAGCAGAGGAAGCATTCCCCGCCTCCAGGAAAAGCTCTACTTTTCCCCCCTCCCTACCGTCGGAGCTGTGGCCGTGGACTCCGATCGGCTCGGATTATCGGAGCCTGCCCAAGAGGTATCCTGCCCATCGAAATAGAGTTATCTGCTTCCAAAGTTGGTTTCTTTTAAGTAGATCGACGCATACAATCGAAACGTGCTACAGCTTTATTTAAATTGGGATGGATTAGCGTTTCCCTGTAAAGATCCTTTTTTTGTGTTTAATTAGTTAGTTTCTTGGACAAAGCTGAAATCTTTGATACGTTTTGCTTCTTTTTCTCAATTTCCCCACTAATAAAAACTATATTTTCTTGATTTTAGTTCCTGAAAGAATTTGTCTAGATTGATTGATGCACAGAACTGACAATGCTACACATTTGGTGAGATTAGGATATATCAGCATTTCCCTGGTAAAGATGCCCTTTGTGTTTAATTCAGTAGGTTAATTTGAAGAAAGCTGAAATCCCTTTCCTGAAATATTTGATGCACAAAGATGACACATTTTAGTTTATTTTTCTGTACGATAGCAAAATAAGTCAACAACTTTCCCCTTTGATAGGAAGTCTCCTTTCCTATATTAGTTACCTCGTCTGAAGTTGGCAGTTCTTGAAGAATTAGATTAGGATAGTTTCTCGAGATGTACTACCTTCTGGATGAGTTTATCAAGAATTCAGTAAACGGAGAATAATTGTTGCTTTTTTTTCCAAGGATTTTGTAATATGTGTAACTCTAAATTGTAGGAAAAACCAAGGAGGTACTACTTTGTGGTGGCCAATGCAAAATTCATGCTCGACGACGAGGAACACTTCAAGGAGTTACTGTATGAGCGGCGCCGAAACTTTGGGGAGCGTAACAGGGAGCAGGACTTCTGGCTTGTCATCGAGCCCAAGTTCTTAGACAAGTTCCCTGGCATTGCCAAGCGATTAAATAGACCTGCTGTGGCTCTTGTCTCCACAGATGGACCCTGGATGACGTAATTATCCTCACAAATTACTTCTATCTGTTAGCCGTTGCTCATTTCAATTATGTTCTTCTTTTCATGATTGTTGTTCTCGTCTGTTTTGATCTTTTGGAAGCTTGAAAGCTTCACCTTCATAGGAATGTTTGTTCAATTTGGGAGGAAATATAGTTTACACCTACTAAGGACATCATATTTCTGTCACAGAAGCCACTTAGGAACTGTAAGCATTGTAATATACTTAAATTTTCTTGTTATCTGCAACTTTCATGAACTCTGGTAGCATTCATTTACTTGCTTAAGTGCCGTAGTTGCAAAGCAAGGAAAACCTACAAGATGAACTAGGAAAATTGGTAGCTACTGTAACTTAAAATAATATCTGACTATCATATTAGCAGCTTTGATGCTCTGAAGCTTATGAGACAGCCAGTTATGCTCTCTGGTTTCTCATCTTGTCTTGTCTTGTCATGCATTAATGTGAGCGGATTATTGTATTAACTGGGAAATTAGCTGGGTTTGCTCCTAGAAAAGATCTCTTGATCAAATAATCAGGATTACATTTAGATTCTCTGTGACCGATCTCATTGCTCAATAACTTTGTTTAAGAGGGATAGACCTCAAGTGGTTAAATTCACAGGAAAACACTAGTAGTACTGGTGCCTCAAGCTACCATGTTCTGAAGATTGATAAAAGTGATCGAGAGGAAAGCGTGAATAGATCATCAATTTCGATGCAAGAATGTCTTGCTAGTTTTCACTCTGCTTTCTTCAATTTAACATGTGTGGGGGAATGTTTGATCAGCTGTTTCACTTATTTGTGCCTTTTAAGATATATATTATGCCTTAAATAAACATTTATGTAGAGAATTTTGCCTGGTTGCCAATTGTTGAATGAGTTTAAACTACAAAAGAAAGAAAGAAAAAAATCAGTCTTGGTACCCGTCAATCAATCTTTTAGGTCTTAAGCCAATCCATCTTGTCTAAAGTTGCCTTGACAACATAACTTAAGAAGATATCTAGAAATTAGACGGTCAACATTCTATAATATGCTCCATCTTGAAGTTGCTTACTTGGTCAGAATGGTTCTTCACAGGTTTATGAAGCTGAGACTGGACAGGGTTTTAGCAGACAGCTTTGAAGTAGACACTCTAGAGGAAGCTCTTGCCTACAACTCCATCGATCTAAATTTCGAGAAGCCAGAAAAGTGGACGGCACCATATCCAAAATACGAGTTCGGATGGTGGGAGCCCTTTCTGCCACCAGGCTCCAGCAAAAGCTCATCATAGATCCAACATTTGGTCTCAACACAATCTCTAGTTTGTTGCATGTAGCAGCGTATTTAAGCTAAATTGTCCAGGTTTTGAGTGGTCTTTTGTTTCCGATTATATAGAACTTCCCCAGCTTTCAATTACTGTTAAATGGTTTGGACAAGAAGTGGAGAAATTAAAGAGAACAGCTATTGCTGATCGAATTCTCTGTAATCACTACAAGAAATGACAGGAAAAACTTGATGGATTTAAGCATTTAGTTGCTGAAAAGACTGATTCGGTTTGCAAATTTCTTATACTACTCTGTGGAATCAAAGAGTGTTTTGATTCTATAACTGAAGTTCTTGAAAGTGCAGATAATTTAGTTGTCTTATTCGATCACAAGTGATGGATCCTAAATAGTCGGGGCGGTTTGTTGTTGTTATTGTTGTATTCGATCATAGCAAACTATTTCAATCTGATTCTGTGGAAGATTTAGTTATGGTGGCTTGTAGATACTCACCAAGACTTGTATTACCATGGTTTTCTTGAAGAACAGAGTGTAGTTCGATCATTGATAGATACCTGATGAGGTTACCAGGACTTCTGCCTTCTTCAGTAGGAGCTCCACTCCATGTTCAGGCTCTACGATCAATCTCAGTGCAGGGGAGTGGCGGTAGTTTGGCGACAAGGAGATGCTGAACCTGAGAAGGATAAGGGAGAGGAGGACCTTCAGCTCGGTCATGGCGAAGTGCTGGCCGAGGCACGTCCGCGGCCCGACGCCGAAGGGGAGGTACGTCTGCGGGAGCTGGCAAGCGCCAAGGACCCCCCGGGCAAATCTCTCAGGGTTGAACTCCAGCACGTCCGGTCCCCAGATGCTGGGGTCGTGATGCAGCGCCGACGACTGCACGAAGATGCTGACGCCCTTGGGGATGCGAACGCCACCGAACTCCATCTCCTGCATCGTCTCTCTCGCCACGTATGCGCCAGGGGGGTACAGCCTCAACGTCTCCTGGATCACCATGGTCAGCTGCAACCGAGCAAAACGACGTTAACATGGAGACGATCGAAGAGAGATCTGTAGCTGTCGTCTCCAGGGTTAACGCTGCTCGCTTACCGTCTTCATCTTTTGGAGGGAGTTAGCGTCCGGTGGACGGTGGCGACAGACCGCCGCCGCCTCGGCGCGAGCGCGAGCCTGCCATTGTGGGTGGAGAGCGAGCAGCATGAGGCACCAAGACGTCGTCACGGCGGTGGTCTCGTGGCCGGCGAAGTAAACGTTCTTGCAGATGTCGACGACGAAGCTGTCGGGGGTGGCGGGGGAGGGAAGATCGTCGTCGGCGCTGCGAAGGATGGCTTGGAGTAGGCTCTTCTGCGAAGTGTACTGCTCGGTGCCATTGCTGTCCTTCACCGTCTTCAGGATTAGGGAACTGATTTCTCTGTTCAGCCGGTGCACTTCTCGGCCTCCTTTAGTAGGAAATCTGTGAGAACGACGGCGACAAATAAGAAGTTTAGTATCAAACTTATTGAATATTTTAAATATTAATTAATATTTAATAAATCATAAATTTTATTTAAATTACATCACCTGATTAGTATAAAAAAATATCAATAGAATAGATGCTTAAATGTTGATACTATTTTTGTAGGATGTTAATATAATTTTTTTGACTTTATCTAAAATTATAAGATTATCAAAAATGATTTCTTAAGAAACCATTATGATTTCTATTTAATTATTTATTATTTATTTTTATTTTAAAATTTATATTATATGATTATTATTTATTTTATTAATTTAAATAAAAATGTATGCATTATTAAATAAATATAAAAATTAAAAAGGTAATTTTATTATAAAATATTAAATGAACTTTTGAAATATAATTTTACCAAACAATACTCACCTTAATGCATAATTAAATTATAACTTGTTGAGACACGAGTAAGGAAACGAAACATTGGGAAAAGGAGGAGGATAAGTAGATATCCTAACATGATATAAAAAAACATATATTTTTATATAAATTTTATTAAAACAAAATATTATTTTATAATATTTTTATACTTCATTACACTACTTAGACAAAAACACATATTACATTATACTGTTTTTATGCTACATACATTATGATGATATTGTTGAAAACACTATAATACAATATAAAAAAATACTGAAATTGGATTGTTTCATATGAAAATAAAGAAAAAGAGGTATTTTTATTATTAGGTGAAAAGAGAAAATTTCAATATATATATATATATATTATATAATGGAAATTGGGCCAATAGAATTTACCTTAAACCAGTGATTTCTGCAAATAGATTAGGACTCGAAACAGCCTTCTGCAGCTCCCTAATCTTCAAGAAGATCTCCTTCCCCCTGCTGTAATTACTCCCAAAGCATGTTCTTGAGATGACATCTGCGGAGTAGCGCCTCAAATCCTCGTCCACATTGATTGCTGCGGTTCCTCCGCTGAGCTCAACCTTCTCCTCCCATGACTTGAGCAATGGCCAGGCAGAGTCCACCATCAGCTCCACCATGCCCTGCACTTGGTCGGATGACATGCCGACGCCATTTCATGAGAATGTTATGTTTGGGAGGGAGGAAGTGATCTTTCCGTACCTTAACCTTGTCAGAGAAGAACTCTGGTGCTAAGATCTTTCTCTGGTGAGACCAAGATCTACCACTAGATTTCAAGATGCCTTGACCGAAGAGAGGCTCATGGCTCTTCTTCAAGTAAGAAGACTTCCCCAGGTCGAGAGATGAGCAGAGGCTGATCTCCTTCACCCAATCTGGATGGCTGACATGCAACACTACTGCGTTGCCCAGTGAGTACGTAAACACTGGACCTGATAAGAACAAGCTGATGTCTTATCAGCAACAGCAATATAATTATGTGACGATGGAAGAAGATTGTCAGGTTATGCAAGATACTACTGTTCCGGCACTAGAAAACCCAGTCTACTTTTTGATTTGATGAACAGTAATCCAAAGGCGAAAAGCCACCAGCTGACGGTGTCTCACCAATCAGGTATGTTACAGATATGTTCTACGAATCATGTTGGGTAAAGCGATGATGATCAACGCAAAGGAGAATAAACATAAATGGAGATCCTTTGTGGGACGTCAACGACGATGTGCTGCACCTTTACAGGTATGGATGTCGACTCGGCTTCTCCACTCATCTACTCAAATCATGCTCTACCTAGCACTCGAAAGCAGGAGGATCCTTTTTCTTGTACGACTCCACATCCTCCTCCTCCCTCCTCTTCTCCCTGCTATATTCCTCGGTCTCTTTCCACAAACCAACCCATCCATCACGTCTCTATTTTGTTTCTCTTCACAGTGTCTTCGCTAGGCGAAAAAGAAAGGGGACACCATGTCTTCTGGAACGAGGAAGAGACACAAACCATCGGTGAGATAGAGATATGGCGATATACGTCCTGGTTTTTCTATCGATATTTGCGGATGGGATATGACGAGGAAAGAACAAACAACACCAGTTTAACATCGATACGTGTCCATCTTGGTTTCCTCACGATGGTATTTTGTCACCTCGACGTGCTAAGGTACCTCGACAAAGCTAAACCTATACGTGTATTCCTTGAATCGAGCCACCACAGACAAGTCTTACCCCCCACTTAACGCTAAAAGATGTCGACCGCAAAGCTGTTGTGTAGCTACAGATTCTTAATGCTCCTCTCCTCTTACGTGCGTGGATGATATGATCGATCTATAAGACCTTTCGTTCTGATGCAATCATAGAGTTCTGATCGACATCATCGCTTGCGTCTAAAATCTTAAGGTCCGTAGGTGAGACATGATTTGACTACCTATTATACGATACGATCATTAAAGTAGAATTGCCACAGCGAACTTAGGACAAGCAGCATATTATGTGGACACGATTAGGACAAACTCACCGACGTTTTGTGATACTAAAGCTCTAAACTCTTATCGCTTGTTTCGTGTGTGGACGACGGACGATGCATAAGATCTTTCGTTCTGATGCCATCTTGAAGTCGTTGCATCTAACGAGTTAAGCGAGAAGGTGAATCGCTAAGATTCGACTGCGCTAATTTCGGTGATGCATACAACAGTGAAGGAAAAGATCCACAGATGTCTCAGTTTCTGCGCTCTTTAGCTATCAATCATTACAGAGTCCGAAGGTTACGTACTAAAAGGACTCAAAAGTACGAAGGGGAAAAAGGAGAAAGAATGATGCTGCGTACCGTACTCCTTCCTCCACTGCTCAAAGTGAGGGAACACATGCTGCGTAAACCCATGCTTTACCTCTCCTCCTCGGCCTCCTCGAGTCCTTTCCGCCATTAGAAGCCTCTTCATTTCCAGCGAGCTTCCATAGAGGAACAACGACGGCGGCCCTGCTATCCCTTGCTGCCTCAGCTTGCTGCGGATGCCTTGGGGTCGCAGCCACGCGATGTAGTAGAGGTAGACAACCAAGCTGCAAACTCCTATCAAACACAGAGAAAGCAAAACCTGCAGAGGCACCTCCATCTCCATCCTCTCTATCTCTCTCTGTCAGAGCTGCCTAGATGCTTATAATACTGATGCTGATGAAAAATGGGACACACACACACACACACACAGCTGCTTTTATGCTTATAATACTGATGCTGATGAAAAATGGGCTGCTTTATGAGGTGAGTACATAAACAGTGTGTTGCATGGGAACAGGGAAAAGAAGATGGGATCCATGCTAGATAACAAGCCCTCGGCTTCGGCTACACACAGGGATAACAGAAGACTCTATTCTCATAAAGCTGTTCCATCTTATCATTTAGGAGCCCTATGCAAGTAAGTGGACCACATGGACCATTGTTACTCTATATGAATCCATGGACTTGCACCATGCTCATAATTGTGTGTTCACTTGGTCACATAGGTTTATAATTTGATTAGGACAAGTTTGTCGAGATGCAGGGAAGAATCTTTTGGTGCATTTAAGAGCAGATTAGGCTGAACCAGTTAAAAAGTATTGGGGGGTGGGGGGGGAGTCACAGTTGGAAATGTACCTTCCCAACAAAGTCTATCTTAATCACAATATTCTATGCACCATTCATGTCATGCACCATTATCTTAGTCATTGCTAGGGAGACTTGTTGTCCATGCCTTGGGTTGGGCAAAAAGAAAAGGTATTCTGCATGCCTTAGTAGCTGAAAGCTGATTCCAGAGATGGAGACAGCAGCAGCTCGATGAAGCCCTTATCCGAAGATGTGCTATGAGTGCAGTCTTGTTGGTTCTTGTTGTCATGAATGATGGATGTGCTTTGAGTTCAGATCCAACATGGGAAGATCAAATACGAATAGTCAACTCTGAAGCTCCAAGATTTTTAGTGCCAAGCATGTGAATTCAAGTACAAATCGAGAATTTTTATTACCGAATGAAGAAGCGATTAGATTATGGAGACAAGAAGGTTTTTGATTTGTCAAAACATTATGTTTGTCTCCATTGGCCCTCTTGTTGAATGGGTGTGACTCATCTCACACCTGAACCTATTATTTGTATTGAGGAGAACACAACACTGATTTGAATTAGAGGATAAATGTAGTTTTTAATTTCATTCCTTTTTATCTCTTCGCATCCTAATGTTTTACCTTTTGATGAAGTCTTCTTGTATCTCTTACTCAATAATTGTTCAGCCAGTGGTGCAATAACACAAAAACAATATGGGTTCTAATAATTATCCTATCACTTTTAAATCTGGATCTGATAGAGAGATAACTGATCATAAGAGAGTCTAAATCATTGCTTCTAAATTATTAGTTTCTATGAGGCTTAAGAACACTGAATTTATTTCCCACAAGAAAAGCCCAAATTATAAATGCTTCCAGGCTACCTTGCAGTGTAAAGCCTGGAAGCATTTATTTCCTGCAGTCCTCAAAGATACTAGTGTCCCTATAGAAGCTATGGTAGAGAGATTAAATCTTAACTACAGCCACATCTATTAAAATGTTGTATTACCAAGTTAATAATATTCGAGAATTAAGTTATTTTACTTTTACTCTGTTAAATAAATATTGTCTTGAGGCATAGACTGGTGTGCCAAACTAAATAGGACAGTGACAAGGAAGGCATACATCCAAGAGAAACATTTATCTTTATATGACCTGCAGCCACAACACCATCATACAAAGAGATAAAGATGCCTAGGACAACTTGACTAGTGCTGGAACCAATATGATTAGTGACAGCAACAATTGTCCATGTGAAGCAGTCATCAAAAAGATATCATCAAACATTCCTCTGGAGTAGAAGGGAGAGCAAACCAAACCAAGGAGACACTAGCATTGATTATTTATGCCCCATCATTTTCCTGCCTAAATTCCGCTATAGATGCTTACACAAACAAACAAATCAGTGGACATGATACTTATCACAGAGCCATCTAAGTGAAACAAAGACTCATGTGGCTCAACCAGGTCCTCAGAAAAGACCGATGTTGGCAAAAAGTTTTTTAAGTAGCTCTTTTATCCTCAAATGTTTTACAGGTTCAAGTGCTGGATATCTTTCTCATTCTGAAAAACTAGTGTGTGAAATGAAAACGACAAAACAAGTGAAAAAAATTAATTATGTGACTTATAACATATGAAGATTCCCTCTTGCACAAAATCAATCTCAAACAAATTAGTGGCCAGATCTAGAGCTGTTCTGTTTCACCAGATCAGCGCCACTAACATATTTGGCCATGAAAGAAATCAACCGGAAAGGGGCTCCAATAAGTGGCGCGTCCGAGAGAGGAACTGCCTCTGCTATTTCATTATTCTGAACTCCAGTGAAGTCTTCCTTGTGAATTTGGATTTCATCAAATGGAACTGTTGCAGGTTCACTTCCTCTTGGCTCATCTGATGGTGGTGGTCCTGGCCGGTTAACAGTTTCAGAATCCAAGTCATTGATGCCATTATTAGCACCAAAGTTCTCCTGCAGTTGGACGGAGGGATGAACAGTTTCACCTGAATCCTTTATCTTTTCCCTGAAGTCTGATACATAATGACTTGGAGAGGAAGCTCTATCCAGCATCTCGACCCCATTAAGGTCAGTACCAGAAGGATGACCACCATGTTTTTCAGGTATAATGTATGGTTCATTCACCTGAATAACAATAATAAAAGTTTCAGATTCAACAGGAACAATATTAGAGATCCAATCAAACAGATTGTCAAACTACTTGGAGCTACATCAGTCCTATTCCTTGAGATGACTATTATCAAATGTTTTAAAGGAAAAAAAATTATGTATATTGCAAAACATGGACGGTTAAGTCAATGACCATGAAATGCGTACTGTTGTTCCTCCAATTTTGATCCCATTTAATGAGAATCAGGCTCAAGAAAGAATTTTTGGTCTATCAATCTGATCAGATAATTTTAAATACATGAAGGGTCATAGTCTGGCCAAGTCAATTTGGCATGTCAATATGATCAATCAAAACATGTGAACCAAGAATGTAGCACTAGGAAGTTGTGTACTCTTATTTCATAAAATATGAACTTCATAAATCATGTTCCATATAAATACATAAAAATGAATAAGAAGGAATTGAAGACTGTCATTTCACTTGTAACCTTCTCAGAAAGCTCTGTACTTCCAGATGTTTGATCACCAAACAGGGCACTGGATGCTTCTGTTTGTTGTGCAGAGAAATCATCTTCAGGAAGCTGCAACAATATTCTGTTAAGTGTAGTCCAAATCTAGAAGTTAACAGGGGCTAAACATGATTTGGTATTTTCAGACAGTCATTTCTGTATACCAATAGTGCTAAAAGAAGCGACATGGCCAACAGTATAAGTTTCATAGTGAAAACAAATGCACAAAACTCAAATCCTGCAGACTTTCAGTTCTAGGCCCTTGCTTTTCCTTCCTATTTATGAAAATTACTCAGGTGCAATTTTAAACAGTTATATACACACAAATTGCTACAAGCACCTTTATCTTCTGAAATTTATTGAAAATTAAACCCATCAAAATGAGGATCTTCGCTGATCTATAGATGTCCAACAGGGCGTGAAAGCCATCTAAACCAGTCCTTACTACAATTTGGCTAGAATACCATGTCAAATTGCACCTTAGAAGTGCATCTTCCAAAAGCTTATTTAGAATTGTTCTCAAGTTACCAGAACCATCCTTTTTCCTGTGAATGCATTTATGGCTTATAATAACAACTAGAGAAAAAGCCTTCTCCTGCTTATATTTAAGTCGGCCACACTGTTCTTTTCACCGGTTAGCTCTATGAGGGCAAAATCCACATATAAATCTTAGAATATGTGGGTTTCCTTTCCGATGCTTCTAAGACCCCATCAGTCTTCATCCAAGTCCCAAGCATCTCTAAATAATTATGACCATCGATTAAAAGAAGTGTTTTGACAAACATATTTATAGTCACTACATTTAAAACTGTGGAATATTTCCAAGAATTATCATCCATTATAGATCTATTTGGATCTAGAATAATTCAAATTATATATGAAAATTTGTTAAATCAGCAGATGACACCTTGAGACCCCATGAACAGAACCTAGTCCAAATTTAACCGAACCTGGGTAATAGGGATAGCTCACTGTTGTGGAATAGTTCAGGATATGGCAAACCATATTAATACCACAAAATTAAGGTAATTTATTAATAAACTCAGTAAATAGTTTATACTAAAAAGCTGGCATAAAAAAGCAACCTTTGTCATCGTCTCAGTCAAGTTTTCATGTGAAGGAGCTCTCTCCTCAATGCTTTGAATCTTTTTCTCCAAGCCCGTCACCTTTTCCATCAACTGTTGATTTTCTTCGAAAAAAGTGTTTCTCAATCCTTGCAACTCTTTTACCTGCCAGGCTTTGTTATTTAATAGTCATATCAGAAATTTAGATTCTAAAGAGTTTGAGAAACTTACTCTGTGAATACACAAGAAGTTTGTAACATGAAACATCAGAGACAGAATATAGTTGAGGACATACTGATTGAAATTGAACCTGGTCAACAAGTTTATGAATCCTAAGACTTGAGATTTTAAAAACCGGTGACAAGTGGATAAACCATAACAATAAGAGTTTGCATTTACAAATGGCATATGGTTGGTATAATTTCATCATGATTTTCTATGTTTGTTGCTCAAGGTTACATGCGTGTATGAAACTCTGAGACAAGGAAATCAATGTTGCCTGGGAAGGTACATACAGGTCAATACTTACCAGTCAGGCATGAAACGGCAAGCGGAGCGTCCAATTTCGAATTTCAAATGGTCCATGTATGGTACAGGGCTTAGTGCCTAGTAAGCCCTATGAACTAAGTGGTAAGCTCCTTTCTTTGATGTTTCATTTCTTAATCCTGAACCCAACACCTCCCAACCCCGCAACCCCCCCCCCTTTCCCGCCACTACCTCCTCTTCCCTTTTTCTCTGTACCATGATACATTCTGGCATACTATTTGTTGATATGCTGGAACAGAATGGTCCGGGCCGTCGGGCCATAGGCCAGCATAGGTATGATTCCTGAAATTGAAAACACTGTTTTGAAGTGTCTTAGCTTAG